GAATCACGCATATAAGGCCCATATTCGGTCGTGCACCTCAAGTTGCTTAGGACGAGCTCAGATGTCCCACATCTCACTTTGCGAGTACCAGGTGATCTTGGCGCAATGGCTGATGGTATCTGCGGTGTGGGAATTGCACTCAGCGTCGAGGCTGAAGGTTCCCTACTAGATTAGATCCCATTAAACGGTCATTTTGGCGCTGTGCGGGTGTCTGGCTCAATTAAGATCAATTCAGGTCAACGCGACAAACTGTATCTATTTGTGGTATCAGCACACGCCTTGACAGACTGCAGTTATGAGATCGAGAAGGACATGTTTCATCAAATCTGTCACGAATTCTTCGGTTGGTAAGAAGAGCGGATATAGTTATCCTGTCGAGTGATATGAATGCCCAAGTCAGAAGACTAATTCCGGAAGAAGGACAATTAGGTGGTAGATTTGGAGCCGATACTGAGCGCATGGATGAGAGGGAGCAACTGCTTCAGTTGTGTGCTGATCACCGTCTGTTCCTGGCCAGTAAGAACTTCCGGCCTGAACATTCACATCGAGTTATTTGGAGGCCACCAATCACAGGAGAGTTACGGACTCAGATGATCCATGTGGCTATCAGTTACCGATGGCGAACCTCAATTAAGAATCATCATTACTTCTGGGGTTTGAATATTGACTTCGATCATGCGATCGTCCGGGTCCAGTTATCACTTTCCAGTTATCGCTTTCCGTCAGCAGTACGCGCGCCGAAGCAGAGCAAGTCTGTTCATCAACTGTGGCAAGTCCCAGTAGCTCAAAGGTACCAAGATGATCAGGCCAGAAAGCTACCGGAAGCGAAGTTATGGGGATGGCGAAGATTGCTTGGAGGTTGAATGGACGTGAGCTAAAGAAGCTATGCTGTCAGCCTTCAGAATGCCAGTCCAAGCCGTCCGAACTCAATAAATGGACACTGGATATCGTCGAGATCAGCATATCTTGTTGCTACCAGCAACTAGCGACTACGACGGCGCACGAAGATCCATCAAACATTGGATACTCAAGATCTTGAGGAATGACGGAGAACGCTAGTAGAATGGGAACGCCCAGGAGATGGAGAAGACTTTCGCTACAGGCAACAGCTGCACCCCGTTTCAGCTGATTTGATCAACCAGCCAAAATATGACAACCGTCAGTGAAACAATATGCGGTAATTCCCTCAAAATCGACGTTTTGAGCGATGGGCTGAACATTTCAGAGAACAGTTCAGCTGGTCTCCTTCAACAAAACCACTAGAATAACCCAGGGTAACTGAATCGAATATCGGCACCAGCCGGCCGTCAACAATAGGAATCCAACGTGAGATATCATTCCCTTAACGCGGCGGGGAATCCGGCTCGGATGATATTCACTCTTCACCCTTCAAAGGTGGTGGGGTCCTTCTGAACAGTCTGACGACCCTACCACGGAGGATTTGGAACGAAGACAGAATACCAGAGCGCCTCAACGGTCATCCGAGTCTTCAAAAATGGCACAAGAACCTCTTGCGAAAACCACTGCATTATTTTGTGCAGGGTAGTCGATGATTGGGAGAGACGGTTCGTGAGATACAGGTTGGGCTCCGCACGAGCGGTAAATGCATGGATCATATCTTTACCTTGTGACAAGTTCTTGAACACAGCCAGTCTTTCTAACTTCCTGCAATGTTTTCCCTTGATGTGGAGGCTGCTTTTGACTCTACTGATTGTCATAAACCTTGCCATTATCAGATGGACAAAGATGTTCCTTCCAATTTTATATCCTTTATAAGGGTAGTGTATGTGAACTCCTGTGGGATCGTACGAGTGATCTAAAAGCTTTCACCTGAGCTCACCACGTCCAGCAGTGTAAGACGAGGCTGCCTTCTCTCGCCTTTCCTTCTCAGCTTTGTAAGTGATGTACTGCTTGAAACTTCTCTGCCCTACTCTAGAAGACCAGCTGTCTCGCAGACCTCTTTTCACTTAGCCCTGTGCTGAGTGGAAGCGACCGAGAGGTGGATAAAGTATGACTTGGCAACGAAGTATGAAAACACTGAACAATCAATTCAGTCAAGTTGGCAGCTGCCGCTTCACTGGATGAGGATCCCGGGACTCGACTAACCAATGGCTACAATCACGTAGCCAGCGATACTCGTGCGTCAGAGCTATCGTCTTCAATTCGTAGCTGCCCACACTCTTCCATTTTCCGGTGATTGAAACTGTAGCAGCTGGAACCAACGTATCCTTGGTACACGGTCTATACCTGATAGGCTGAAATGAACTCAGTACATAGACCGTCCACAGTTCAGACGCTTCCCCTCAGCAGAGGGCCCGGCGAAAGGAGTTCTGTGGGGCAGATGAATCATAAGAAACACACGTCCCAATCGGCATAGTCGATGGATCGCTAGTAGACCACGGGTGAAATCCGTCAGTCTGTCAGATGTACACCTTGTTAAAATGCAGTATAATCCTATAAGCAAAAATCGATTTCTATTGCATACAGACAAAAAACTTCAGCAAGGTGGTCCCTCAAGACTAGCAAAAAATCATTGGCTCAGAGATGGTGGGGCTGTACAGGATGTTATGACTCGGAGCATTTCTAAGAAGCGAAATGTATCGTCGCACAACATTTACACTAATTTCATGAATTTAGAAAAGTTACAGTGAAACACGTGGTTTGGGGGGGGGGCGAACCTACAGTTACTGTTGCTACAGAAGGGCTGAAAATCTACCAATGAAGTGTCATACGAAAGATTCTATAAGATACACTTCAGCTGGCCATTAGACGGAGGGTGTTTTGAAGTTTACCATGTAAATACTTTAAAAATGAGTCTTTTGGGTGAGCTATCCGAAAGTGCAGAATCTGAATGAATCGTTTATACTTGCTTGATTTGTCTGATAAAGTAAACGGATAGTTAGGGATAAAAATGAACCTTTATTTTCACCGCTGAAGCCACGGCCCTCAGGATGGTTAACTTTAGGATTAAACGACAAATTCAGCATATACGGCCAACGGATAACGCGGATTTCACCCTTACAGCGATGACGCACATGCTGATAGACTTTTTAAAGGTCTCAATTCGCAAGAAAAACCCGAAAATGTGCAAATTTCTTGATGATTTACAGTTTAAGATAAAAGCTAGATAGGTGATCACGTTTACAAGAGATACTTGGACGCTAGGAGTACAACCGAATCATCAAAATTATTCCGCTGTGTGCTGGCGTTAAAAGTTAATTACACGCTGACACGGAGGGATAATAAGTTACAACTGATGAAAAATTCGAGAACACCACATTCCAGTCTGGGTTATCATATGACAAGCACCAAACTGGTGGGAGATTATGTTGCTGTCGTTCAGTCACGTTCTGACGTCATGGAAATTCAGGGATCCACGGAGCAGGGCAAATTCTGTTGCCATATGTCAATCATCTAATCCACTCTCACGTCATCCGTGAACAGTAGCGTTCAACTATCAGATGTAGTTCATTATTAAGATGTGTTGTCTATGGTCGATCATCAATAGCATCGCGTCTCTTCCAGTAGATCCCAACAGATAACCGATTGGCGATCGGGAACTTTTAGCGAAACACGAGTGACATAATCGATATTCTGGTCGATATGCCAGTATAAACTGAGTGAGTAAGGCTCACTAACTTCTGATCCAGCAAAAAATCGATCGGAATTGAACGCCACTTAGACTGCACTGCCACTACTTTGAGTAAACCAATAAAACGTGCAACTATAGACTGATGAAATGGCCACAAGCTGCTGTACTTCACGAAATGAAAGTTTATTTTCCATAGTACTGCTAAATTAATTATCCACTGATTGGAGAATCGAGCAATTCGATCGCTACGAAATGAACACGTGGCCCTCTGGTAAAAACGATACAATCCAAGTAGGGACACAATGTTAGGACAGTAAACGGAATGGCACCATTCAACCTTCTCCCAGCGATTGTTTCCTTGTGCGAGGGATGAAAAAAAGCTGATAACAAATAGAGACAACGAAACAAACAAACAGCGCAAATGCTGTTTAATCATCAGGCATCCTCTGAGGAGGGTACGCGCAACCAGTACCGGAAACGATAGTGACCTGGTCACGAAACTACGCCTGCACATAACTTTATGTACCTCTTTATATATACGACTATGGCCCTAGGGTTGATGTAACCAGCCCGTCTTCTGCCAGAGGTTGACTCCTGGTCATCCATGAATGTGGGCTATCGACCCTTCTAGACAATGCATCATTGCCAACCCAGAAGACGGAGAACAGTTATCGGAAAGCGGAGAAGCGTTGGTGTACGAAATGCACGAAGTGTAGAAAATATAGGAATACATAAAATCCCACGCAACTGATGCTCACGAAGTTTTCGAACAAAAAACAGAGCAATTTTCGAAAGGTAAGTTCGTGTAACTAGCCAGCTAGATATCAGTTTACTGACAGAATATACGAAACCGTTTTGTAAAAACTGCACCCCAAAAGGAATTTGAGACAGCCTTGCTCGCGGAACATCACCAAAGTCTGCTAGTAGCAAAGTATGACAGAAGAACAAGTTCATTGTGTTTGGTCCAGTTTTTTCTCGAAATCATAGAAGCGACTTAGCAAAGACCAACAGACGAGAAAAATTCGCCAGTGCCGAGTTGGAGTCCAGGGGAGTGAAAGTATTAATGATTACGTCAGACGCCTACTAATATATGCTATGATGAATGCGCTAACAGATACGAAGCATAAATGTACGAATTCAAACTAACTTTATATAGGCAGGTCTGTGAAGGGAGAGAAACTACACGAGCTTGTTTATCCGAACAGATGACCAGCAACTGCTTGTCCGGCTCATTCGATTGACTTGGTGGACCAGTGTCGGGTGTACCTGCCAGGCTAGTTTGGTGGAATATGGAACTGTTACCTATATAAGGGAGCGAAAAGGAAACGTTTCTAAAGGAGATGAGCAGGACTGAATAAAGAAAAAAACATACTAGAGGGGATTTCTTTCTTCCCCTCGCTACCCAGTATGTACATAATGGATACGGTCCATTCCACTCCGTTATTTTACCACTACATATAATGTCCCAAAAAGTTATGATTCCTTCATTAGGAACAACCTTCTCATAACTACCACAAAACAGAGCATAAGAGTTACCAGAAACACCCGTTAAGAATTTGACTTCATCATACCGACGGCTGTTCCCTGAGCTGCAACCAGATCTCTGGATCAAAGCGTCATTTTTGCCGCATCTTTTAAACGACATCCTCTAGGGAGAGTTTATGCCAAAGTGCCTGGTGCACAGTGAAAAGCGCCCTGACAAACCAAGAGTTCTTATTCGTCTGATCCATGCATGGATAGTCTCGGTAGATGTAGATCTCGTCTCACTTGTTAATGAGCACAGGGCAGCACGATAGTGGTGCATGTGTGGTACACAGCACAGGTAACTTTTTATTCAACAAGCATTTGCTGAGAATGACTGAAGGCAAATTCTCCGGTACAAGTTCCCACAATTAGGAATCGCTCCAAAGATTTAGCTGCACCTGCAAAATTTCAACAGAAAAACTGCTCTGAAAAGTGGTTATTTTTTGTAGAAAATGGAATTACAGTGCATTGGTATGGCCGCTGTTCTGCATCCCCGTGCTATCTATCCTATCTATTCTCAAGTTTCGGTGACTGCTGTTATCTAGTTAAAGACGCTCCAGGATGAGGTCCAGAATTTATAGATCACTAGGGATTAGGCAATTACGATAAATTACACAACAGCGAATAAAAAGTTAGAAATTTACCCACGAGTGCGCTAATGGTAAGATGAAATGTTGTCAGGATATTAGTCTGCCTACCTGGAGGGCCAGAGGAGGAGGAAGTCGACGATGATGGTGTACGTGGCAGAGAAGCTCCAACTTGTCTGCTTACTACATCCTTCGGGGGCTTTGGACCACCACCAAGCCTACGAGTTGCTGCACTGCTGTCTCCTTGTCGGAACCCAACAGAAGCACCAGGTTCGGCAGCACTGGAAACAGCTGAAGATGAATTGGATGTCTGTTGTGTGATCGGTCGAGAGCCATCTTCCCATTTCTCCCAAGGTGGAGATTGCAATTCCCCCGTGAGATCAAGGAATGCGATGAAGAGAACTTCGCCGTTCAACCGGAATAACGAGCCTGAAATAATTAGGGTACATTCGCAGCGAGGAGGTAGTCAAATAAAAAATGACGGCTTGAAGCAAGTATCACTAGTAGGTCATGAATCCAGCCATTGTTTCGTGTAGCTTGTGAAATTCTATAGTGCGCCAGTCGTCATAACTGTGTGATCGATTTTCGCGAGGTACCAACTCAAGCTTATCTCGCGGTCTGAGTCAGTCAGCTAAAGAATTTTGAAAAACAGTCACAACCAATGATGGCAACGATTTAAGGAATCTGAACGACGTCTCAAAATAAATAGAGTGATAAAGCGGTCGTTTTTTGGACAAGGCAGCGACTAGTCGCGCTGTCGAATAGACGTCTCGCGTGACTCCTACCGACAATGTGATTCAGATTGTAAGCATGCTGCTACTAGGCTTTACAACAATCCGATGAATGACCAGTAATATAAAAATTGGGGTCAAAGATACACAAAGATGAGAAACCACTATCGTAAAAGTGGGGGTGTCGAGCCTCGTTGTTCGTATAGAGAGAGGCTGTCACCAAATAAGGCTGTGTTCAAACCAAGAGATATGTACCAGATACTTATCTGTTGTGGTTAGTTTGCTGGAAGGAGTCACAACTGTGAAGGCCAACTATGAAAGCAACGTTCAGCGCAATTATAAACGGTTAGGTCTATCTGTTGATTGCTCCATATTCAATTTGGTGGAATTAGTTGGATTCCATGTGGACGACAAAATAATCACGTACTTCATGCATTGGGTCCAGGGCGATCCAATATAAGACTCTTTAGCCGCGGAATTAACAATTCAGAAAGATATGGTCTCCCAAAATTCCAGCAGACCTAAGTCAAATCTCACATCAGTGGTTTAGTATTGACCAGGTTTTCCCTGATGAGCAATAACTAGTTATTGCAACAATCACTTCTAGTTAACGGACTGTTGGGCTTTGCTATCTAGCGAGTTGAAAGAAAACATTGTTGTCAGCCACGCTGCGGGCTCAGCTGCGCTGTCTAGATGTTGGTTTGTTCGGCGGGCTTAGAAACCAGATTAGAAACGTTCCGTTACCATTTTCAGTGCGCAAATGAGTGGTGCGGCTTAGTGTTGAAATGTCAATAGATGGGGCTAGCTAATGGCATAGCAGTCAAACCCACAACAGCCAACGTTAACTTCATAAACCGTTTGCGGTGAAAACACATTTTAGGGAGCGAAATCCGAATACTGGTGGGGAAGTTGCCTGCAGGTAGGGAGAGAATAGTTCCACGTGAACTCACCTGTTGGGAGGATAGGATTTGTGTGATGTTGCGTTCGGAGCACATTGGTGTTCAAGTTCACAGAAATCACATTTCCACGAGTTGTACAAATCCAAAGACTTGGGGTGGGGTTCGATCCTAGACCATATGAATACAGAATATTGCAGTAATTGAGATTACCGCACACCATCATCACATAAACACTATGGTGATGAAAAATGTATATCAAACGCTAAGGGGGCGGCGTGTTATCAAGATGATGTTTGTCCGTAGTTTGAGAACGGGACTCGTAGTACAATATTAAACTGTAACTCCCAATTTCGATAGTTTAGGTTATGATCTGAGGAAAAACAAGTTACTCAATTCATATTGGCTGATTGTCCCAGAAACGATGTAGTTCCGAGTTAACTGAGCATTAGTGGGGGAGAGAGAGAAAAAGAGGAAACCAAGACCGACCGGGACGGAATGCGAATTTGTGAGCAAGTAACAAAGGTAGACATAGAATGCATTGTGCGAGCAAAACAACACGACAACTAATAATACATATTAGAATTGGCCATCTGTTTATGGCCGGTGTGGGACAGTCGACAGATGTTAATGAAGGTGAGTACACAAGCTGTGCACGCAAGAACGGGCGCGCTCAGCCGGCTACCACAGTGATGTGTTGGTTTGCGTTTGGAGTAGTAGTTTTTGACCTCCTTTTTGTCAAATCTTGCATCTTTGGGTTCCTCGACCTTGAGTTTACCACACATGACTTTATGACGGCCGTATTGTATAAAGTAAACCATCAGTACTTGGCCCCGAAAAAGGGACCGGAATGGTCGTGATGAAAACTGACTGTATACGCAAAATTACAGGCATTCTGGCCGATAAAACAAAGTCGTCAGACAGCCAACGACGAAGATAAAACGCTCGTGATAGGGAAAGAACGGGTAACTCCTTAAGGCAAACGGCTTAATCTCTGAAACTACCTAAGAGAAAGTCAAACACGTAGGGTCAAGAACTCCTCTTCTACATGGCTTGCCGAAAATCCATAAACTCAGCTGCCCATTGAGGCCAATCCTAGACACGCACAACTCAAAAAATTGCAGTGGCTTGTCAAGATGCTGCGGCCAATACGTCGACAAATGTGTCAGTACAGTTTGAGGGATTAATTTGAATTCATGGACTTAATAAAGGACCTAGAACTGAAAGATTAGTCTATGTATTCATTATCGTGACTTCACTGTTAACTAACGTTCACTTAACTGAAACGGTTGATCACCGATGTAACTATATAGAGGCGAACAACTTTCAGTCGCCAATTCTAGCAAACGAATTACGAGAGCTCCTCCTGTGATGTACACTGAATGTGCAGCTGTTGTTCAGTGGCATGCTCCGCCGTCTTATTGATGGCGTCGTCATGTGCTCAGCACTGGACCCGCTGCTAGCCGACATTTTCGTGAGCACACTTAGGAATGGTCCACTAAAAGGTAGCATAGGGGAGATGCAATCCTAGTACTGATATGTGGACGACATTTTCACGGTTTTGAACAATAAAATCGGGATTAAATTTCTCCAACGAAAATTCGATAAGTCACACCACCATTTAAATCACCTCAGGAGGAGAAACCGATAATTTCTTCCACTTCCTAGATATTGGCCTTCAACGACGTCACGACGGTACGCTGAAACGATCAGCGTACCGAAAACCTATACGGCCCGGGCATTTAATCAATTTTAACAGCTTCGTGTCATCAAAGCAGAAACGGATCTGATTCATGCGTCGTGCTAATCCAAGATCACTCGGCAACGAGTTTTACTTGCAGTTGAGCTGCAATATGAATAACTCTCCGTTCCTCTAAAAAACTGCAGAGCCACAATAAATTCCGATTTCACTACATTCAGTGTCATAACTGTCTCATTTCTGTGGGCCCTGTTCGCCTAAGTGCTACCCGGGTAACTGACACTTAAGAGTTAGACAAAAATAGAACAGGGTATGGCGGAATTCTTCTGGTATACTGTGGGTAATGGGACTGTCAAAACAGTGAGGAATGCTTTCGTTTTACGTTCTCACATGGCGGATAGATGGCCCAAGTGGTTAGAGCGCGAATTTACTGGCCGGAAAGCCCGTGATTCGAACCCGACCTCCGCCTCTCGACTTCCCCTGTCTAGGCTTGGGCAACTTGACAGTATCCCAGCCCTCGTGCTTCCTTCGGGTGGCATGGCAGTTAGGCACCGAAAGGGTGATACAGCTGAACGCTATCTATCATGTTCGCACAAATTAGCCGGATTAGATCTCAGTTAAAGACCATGAATACGGAAAAATTAGCGGTAACTATAAAGCAGACCAAACCGACCAATTCAATGAAAACAGTGCCATTAACTTGGTGCGGATGTTTTCACTTAATTCATCCTTGTGGTCGCTGAAGTTCCGAAATAGTGTAATAACTGATTACAGAGCTCTGGATACGTCTGAGTGTTTTAGATCTGTTCTGGACAGAGAAGACCATATTCTCTTCAGGGATGATAACCTTCCACAGGACGAACAAAGTTGATTGGTATTCCTTCCAAAAGTGAAGCATTTATTATCATAAACGAGAGATTCAATTGAGTCTCCGGTGAAAACCAAATTGATTTGCACATGAGTGTATTTCTCGGAATCAGTCTAATTCGGGTTCAAGTAGATCATAAGCTTGACGGAAACTGGGGGACTGCGCCTACCTGATGAGCCCCAAGAAGGGCGCAACCGCTCGTGAGCTGTCGAGGAGTTTTCAGCAACTTTGTGAGTAGTTTCCTTTATGGAAATATACTGCGATATCTCGAATATCGTGCCAACTGAATCATGAGGCGGCCTGTGTGCAGCACATTCAGCGGGAGGACATCATAAACAAGAGATTCAATTGAGTCTCCGGTGAAAACCAAATTGATTTGCACATGAGTGTATTTCTCGGAATCAGTCTAATTCGGGTTCAAGTAGATCATAAGCTTGACGGAAACTGGGGGACTGCGCCTACCTGATGAGCCCCAAGAAGGGCGCAACCGCTCGTGAGCTGTCGAGGAGTTTTCAGCAACTTTGTGAGTAGTTTCCTTTATGGAAATATACTGCGATATCTCGAATATCGTGCCAACTGAATCATGAGGCGGCCTGTGTGCAGCACATTCAGCGGGAGGACATCATAAACAAGAGATTCAATTGAGTCTCCGGTGAAAACCAAATTGATTTGCACATGAGTGTATTTCTCGAAAACAGTCCAATTAGGGTTCAAGTAGATCATAAGGTTGACGGAAACTCGGGGACTGTGCCTACCTGATGAGCCCCAAGAAGGGCGAAACCGGTCATGGGTTGTCGAAGAGTTTTCAGCAACCTTGTGAGTAGTTTCCTTTATAAGAAAGCACTTATTATGTCCATCGGCTAAAGAGAATAAAGATCCGAGTTGAAACTCACCTGGTCCGCGCACGAAGGACTCACCAAAGCATATAAACTTGACACCATCGTTTCCCGATTGTTCAAGTGAGCTCACACTTGCACTCATACTTCCAGATTGTGAAATTGGTCCGAAATCAGGCCACTTTTCTAAAACAAAAGCAGACACGGTTTTCCAAAGTGAAAGTTTGACACAAACACGAATTTCATGCAGAAAAAATGGATTTTCAGTATGGGAATAATGTGAAAAGCAACATCCTGTTCTAAGAAGTTGGACGGTTTGAGTGCTTGCGCCAGAAACGATCCTGGGTGAATTCCTATACAGTGTGAGTTAAGGTTGCAACCATGAGATTGAATGGGTGCCTAGCAGTAGCTGAACACACAGAATAAACGTAATAACCAAGTGAATGGTGACTGCGAAAAAATGCGTCATAAAAAGAAGGTCAAATTTATCCGTGGGGTAAACAAAACAAGAGAACAACTCAACATGTAGTGCTGGCGAAAATGGACACTCAATCATGCCAGGATGAATTGCGCCTAAGTAGCGCACTTACCTTAGTTCAATGCAACTGCATTCGGTGAAACGATTAGCCCACTCAACGAGCATGCCATGTAAGGGGCTACGGTTGACGAACATCAGCATTTTCCGCACAGTTTGCTACCAAGTCTAGGGTGCTCGCTCGTGTCATACCCCGACGAAACCCCTTGCTCATATCCATAAATTATACGAGACCAGTTTAGTCGGCTTGAGGCAATACTTACTCGCTAAATGAATTCGAGTCTTAATACAAACTGAGTACATAATGGTGAATATTGTTATCATGAAAATACTGAACCTTCTGCTCTCTAGAGATTTTAAACCCAATGGCACATGAGGTGGTGCACTCCAGTGCAATGAGCACTCTCGGTAGAGTTTCGGTGGTCAAATTTAGTTAGTTATGACACAGCAGACCGGGTCTTCTTGGGGATACAATCGCACTGATTGATCATTTTCACCTAGAGCGCGTGAAAGATAGAATGGCGAGTGGACACGCATGCAAAACGTCGACTACCATAAGGTGGTACGGACTATACACATCTCAGGTAAATATGATCATGGATACTTGTACCCAATGTTGGTGAAAAATGCCTTTTTGACAGCTACTTTTTGAAGACCACTCACTGTATAACCTCAAACTGAGTGCATCCGACAGACCAGCAAAGTGCGAAAAATCACAAGAAGTGGAAGTAAGTACCATGAATTGTTTGTGATATTAGTTGTGAGTTGGCCACTATATGTTGTTCAGCAGAAAATCCTGATAGTGAGTGCATATGTCTGAAGGTCAGTCAGTGTTTAAGTATTCCCTATGGATACTCACACTCACATGGCAGATAAATCTATCTTGATCGCCATTCGAACATCACACTGGCTGTACGTGCGTGTCTGGATTGACAACCCGGTGGTAAATCCGACAGTACTCTCTCACGTGACTGTCTAGCTTATAGGATTTGTCTAGTCCTGTCACGACATAAAAGACATAGGGGAATTCCTGGTCTGACGCAAGACACGATCTCCTTAAGTGCTAAACGGGGCGTTTCATTTAATGAGCAATATACCAGTCAGTGATTGACACTTCCCGTTTTTATTACTGAACCCCTTTCATCTGTGTGCGCAATATATACGTAGTGCCCAGGATATCTCGCATATTGTGTAAGCGCAATTCATCCTGGTGGAGTGGGGTGAAGTACATAATCCATAAAAGGTTACATTTATTACGGTGGATAACGCCACGGATGACCTCAAAGAATAATGGACACAAGGACAAATGGGCGCAAGCGAGATGCGTTCACATAAACCAGATTGAAGCGGTGCATTATAGAATAGGGATATGTTCGAAACCAATGTGTTATATGCGCGACACAGCACACAGGAACAGTGAGGGGCAAAGCATGGAGTGAGAAGAGCAGTAGCAACACCGACATTGACAGAATGGTCATGAAACAAGACGAACAATTTCAACTAGACGAACCTTGTCCGATAAGCTGACGACGCGACACTGTATTAGCCTGACAAGCAAGCACCACTAACAGCGGAAATGAAGAATATGACGAAAAGCAGTGAGCGGAGAGCTGAGTGGTGGAAGCAGATCATGCAAACAAAAATGGGTACGTAGTAACGGGACAGACGCAGTCTGATGGTGTTGTTTCTGGGTCTTCTACGAGCCTAATTCTGTCACCAGGATGCATCACAGCGAAGTTCAAAGCGAAAAATGGGGGAGCATCTTCACTACTTACAAAACACCAGTGGGCACTCAAATGGAGATGCGCGTCAACCACAAAGAAGTTGGCGAGCACCGACATGTGAGACGTGCATTAGGGGATGAGTGGATGACCCCCAAATGAGGGACAAGCCTGTGGAATCGCTGAATGTTCTGACGTGTGCACTTATTCTTCAAAAACCGCTTATGATATGGACATTCTCAGCCTCACACACGCCAAGCTGCCAGTATGATTGTTAGGTGTATCGTATTTCATTCATCCCAATCATAAACTTGCGCTAAATCGGCACATGTTAGAAAACTAGCTGCTCCTAAACATCTCATTTATGTCCGAGTGTCTGTGAAATGCTCCTCACTCCACTGTATTGTTGCGTTTCAGTTGTTGGACCACAGTTGATTCGGAACTCCCCTGAGTCAGAAAGCGATTCGAGCTTGTCTTCGGGAGGTAGACGTATTTACAAAGTTAGATTTCATATGGTCAATCCATCTTTCATCAGGAAAGGATTGGGTTTTTGATGTCTGCTCGTGTCCTTCGCTCAGAGAGCATAAGACCGCACAAATCAGATGATTCCCAAATTCCACACCACAAAATCTATGAGCGATTGTTGGACGCATTACCATATAATGCACCATACACATAAATGTGGCTCGAGTAAATGCCTTTACAGAATGCTCTTCCCTAACCCGGTCAGATTTAATTGATACCAAAACGACTGTTCAGCTGATCCTTTCTGTACTTAGCTGTCATGTCACCAGAGGACTGAGATACTGCCAGCTGGCTCAATCATAGGCAGGAGCAGTGGAGATGCCGGAGTCGGAATAGAACCATAAACCTTCTGGTTACTATGTTCGCGTCATAACTGCTGACCTATGTCGACCTCAACAACAGGGGGAAAACAGTTCAAACAAAATTTACGTGAGTACAGATTCTGCAAATCCCGATGTTACTTCAACTGACTAAACCTTATCTTTAGCGGTAGACGAAAGCCGATCACAACATGCTTTCAAACAACTTCGTAAGAGTTAATCATAGAAAATGAAAATGTGTACATACTAGTGTCAAGCAGCACAGATCTTATGTGCACTTTTATACGACTGAAGCGGCTCGTTGAAACCTGTCACAACTCACGTCCAATGAGTTGAACTGAACGCCCCCACAGCTTGCACCAACGCTAGGGACAGGCAAAGGATGCATCTTTCATTTAGACCGTTGCATTCATCTCGCATACCCACCCGACTGTTGGGCTGATTTAAACGCCCTCTTTTTTGAATGCATACATTACACGTACTGGGTGGAGGATGAAATAGAGCAAGATTTAAACTCAACCCATGGATCCATCCGCGCCAACCGGACAGGTAAACGCGACTCCGCTCCATAGGGAAACAGTGCCTCAGACCCAGTACATTCAGCTGTTTATTCACTGACTGAGTGAGCACATCGCAGACGAGAGATTCTGATGCACTCAAGCTGTTAACACCCATCAATACCAACTTAATTTGCAAATACTTGTTTACTGCAACCTACGTGTACTTTGGTATCAGGCCTAACCACTGATCTCTAAGACGAGCGAAACAAGTAATCAGCTGTTCCGTAGTGAACAGACCATTGTTGCTTAGTGAATTTGTTGCCTGTGACAGGACAGCAAGTATAGGTTTGTCTGACGAATTACGCAGTAAATATGCACGTATCGATCAGCTGTATTCCCCTAGAAACACGAGTTTAATTTCCTCTGTTTGTTCCACGCAGTTCTTCCTTGAAAAATTCCACAGGGAACATTCACCTTATTTATTTTGGGGATAAATACCCTATAGGAAACTTCTTGTTCCGTCCACTAGTATTTGAGATCTTTACATTTGAGGATATCATGTAGTACAAATGCTTTAGTTGGACGAAATCATTTTTCACCAAACAGTTAGCGGATTTAAAAAAGCTGACCATCGGAGGAACACTGCACGGTCATCCGTGAGTTAAGCTCGTTGGAGTGATAGAATTTCCCATTGGCACTTTGAAAACCACAATCTGAGCCACTCATAAGTTCAAGGAGTGATTCAGAGAGCTACCGCCTGACGAATGACAGGATGCTCATCGAACCATGCTACCGATATCTCGGGTCAACTCCGATATTCACGGAATACTCTGATGGTTTCCTCACTTAGCCGGTCCGCATGGGAACCTTGCCGAATGAGGAAAAGATTGTTGGCTTCACATGACTCAATGGCATAGCCAGAAATAGTGAAAGATACGGAATACTCTGACGGAATACTAGACATCCTCTCAACGAGAGTGGTGCTTCAGGAGTTACCCTGACAGGAATCCAAAAGCTCCCAAGTGAAAATAACGGCGAAATACCATCTATTGTCATCAACTCGTCTACAATTAGGCATATAGGATGACCGGTAGCCTGCGTCATAGAGTTACTCAGGTCCCAGGTATGAACTATCACTTACCCCATACAAAAAAGGAAACCCTTATTTTCAGCTATGCCCTCACATACAGAACTGTTCATAAGCACAAAAGAATTACAGATAGAATAAAGTTATAAATTCCTGACTGTGCTCTGAACGATTCTGGGGCAAGTGAACTGATTCATCGAAAGCCATTTACGCACGTTCCCTGCAGTTCGTGGATAGTTAGCCAACTTTTCTTTCATCGTTTTGTATATATTCTCTAGCTGCGCAAGAGTTAGATGAACCCAATCGAGAGCACCCTCATTAGGAGGGAAATGACATCCAAGCGAAGTCATTAGGCAGCATCACAGCCACGCAGAAATTGACAGATTTGAAAAAGGAAGAAAGGTAATGCCTATTCACCCCAGCGTTGTCATCAAGCAGAGGTAATATCGACATGAACAAACTGCCATTAATAAGTTAAACCAAACCAGAATAACATACAGCGACACTTTTATCGACATCATAAACGAGGACTTTGCTGGAATCACTGCAAAGAAGCATCCAATCCAGAGTAACATGGTGAAACGACTGGTCTGATGCCCTTCAAACCCTTATCAACACAATATCCTAGAAAAAGTTGTGATCCTTTCTCCCTTTCCGGGTATCGCACTACTTATGAGATTGACGCAAAATCTTGGACTATCCCCTATCGTTTGTGCTTTTTGGAGAATCACCAAGTAGGTCTACTACCCGAATTCCCATCAATCCTATTTGTTTTTGATCACCAAACTGCACGCATGTGCGGGCAAATGCTCTTATCAACACCTGTCAAGAACACCAGAGACAAACGCTTGGAACAGCACGACACGGAGCTGACAACATTTAGCGAGGACCAACCAACACGGTGAGTTCTCCACCAACCTTGTGATTTCGCGCGTTTCAAATCGGATCGGGATATTGCAGCTCTCGAAACGGGAGCGTAACGACTAGAGCTTGATACATTAGACTGTGTTGCGTCAGACGACTGCACCGTGGTTTCAGTGGTAGACGAAGATACCGTGGTCGTCGAACCAAGAGGAAACTTCATTGAGAATGGAAGAAAGGTTGTGAGGCAATCGTGAGCAGTGCGAAAAAATAAATAAGCAGGCTAGGAAAAGAACACTTACATGCAGCAAACATAGGGCTAACGGCTTTTAACGGTAGTAGGTGGTCGATCAGAAGTGGTGTTCTCAAACCTTCACCAGGAGTGGAGGAAATATTAACTTGAGATAGGTCAAGCAGACTGACGGACCAATTGGAGGTTTGCAGAGCACCATGCTCTTTGCTTGTGGACGAATGATTTATGTGAGTCTTTTTATGATGATGTTGACGCCGATGATCCTGTGGTGTCGAAACAGTATGAACGCTTACTGTCTTCTTGGGATCAGGAACAGTCTCAATTAGTGGCGAAACGTTTAGTTCGGAAGATGACGCTGCTCGTGCACGTGCATTGACAATTCGGGGAGCAGTGTAAGTAGCACCGGTCTTATTGGTACCCCAGGGACAACAATTACAACACATATCCCCCACAGGCTCAGGAGCAGTTACTGGTACTGCTTGAAGAGGAACAGCTGGTGCTTCTGACTGAACAGGTTTCGGCGGGCTTGTTACAGGAGCTGGTGAAACAGAAGCGATGGGATGCAGATGGGAGGGCAGCCTAGGACGTGGGGGAGCAGCAGGTTTAGGAAGCATCTGGAGACAACAGAACAAAGGCGGCACAACAGTAAAAAAAACTGACCACCACCACAACAGCAAATACGGTGACAAATGAGACATTCACATTGACGTTACAGAAAAAAAATTTGCACACATGCACATGGTCAAAGATGTGGCTGAAGCCTCAAGTCAAGAAAGTTTTGATGTTCGTGCTGCAAACAATACAGCAGCAAATTACACTGCAGGAAAACGGGAATTCGCTTGGTCCTGGAAGGTAGTAAACGAATCAAGGCGGTGTTCAACTGAGCATGGTCAACACGATGACTACTCTAATCCCAGCTCAACGTAGTGCGCCTAATAGAACTTTCGGGAGTCAAACAACCAAAGCTAAACTCAAGGTAGGATGATACGTCAGAAACAATAATCAAGAAAATTGAAAATCAACAAATCGTCTCACACGGGAATCGCTGTGCAGCCCCACGGACCATATAAAGCATTATCACTATTTGTCTTCACTACTGATGCTTTGCAAGTAGTGAAAAAAATGACCGCGGCTAAAGAATGAGTCTGGGGGGGGGGTGAGCAAATGAATTTCGCTCTGCGGACACAGAATACCAACTAGATCTAAAAATAGGGTTTCAATTACCTCATTGTCTACGCTGGTCCGCTCGGATCATCCCGTAATATGGATGCACGCCAAACCAACAGACGAACGTAGGGTTTAGACAAAGATGCTCGTTTCTAATTCGAATGACTTAGAATGTAACAGAACGTATCTCAGCTAATTCACCAAATAAGCATAATGAACTACAGTTTAGACTTGATAAACAGGGAATTTCATTATTCTGCATGGGAAAGGAACAGGAAGTCACTTTTTCATAGAGAACATATACTTTGCCATTGCTCATTTTGGAAACGACAGAATTCGTTTGATGTATACATCGGATCGGCAGCCATTAAAATGAGCACTGTCAAACCCTTGTCGTGCGGAGTTATCATTCGATAAAGCTGCCTAAGGGCACCTACTGGAAGACTACCAATACGATTCAATTTATTAGCTATAAACCGTGTACCAGAGGCACACTGGTTCCAGTTTCTACAGTGTCGATCACCGGAAAGTGGGGGAGTTCGGAATATACGGTCAAGCTTTGGAAGTGATGGCATGTTCATTTAGTTGGGGAATCGGGTAGCTACGCATTGACACGATGGCTTTGATGAACGAGTGACACTGGCTGAGCTATCGGGCCACTTATGCCAGCCTCATTTACCACCGATGAGTTGAGTCCCGGGGTACCCATCCAGAGAAGTGGTAGTTACTGACTCGACTCAGTTTACTGGTTAGTGCTTTCATAGTTCGCTTCTACTTAGCACAGGGCTGAACGAAGAGAGCCGTGCTAGGCAGACAGTCTTATGGAATCCGGAGTACACGTCCAAAACAGCGTAACCTACGAAGCGTGAATAATTCATCTATTGCGGGAGAGATCCTACCTCCTAACACCATTTGGCGAACCTCAATGTGTCGAATGTCCTCACCAGACCTGAACAATGCTTCGAAGACACCGGTGGTTACAAGGAGTTTGCATACCGTGGCCTGATAAGGGATATGAATTTAGAAAGGACCCCGTTGGTCACCGGACACCACCACAGTTCCCGACGATAGACAGTCAAAAGCAGCCTTCAGATCAGGAAGAACGACCAACGTGGAACGTTTAGGCGTCGTTCAAGAATTTGTCTCAAGGTGAATATGTAGTCGATGAATCCTAAGCCAGGATGAAAAAAATTCTTCATTATCCAGAATCCCTCACCTGACAACCGATCAGCCTGCGCAAAATAATGCCGGAGAGCACTTTCGATGCGACGGATACAAGATTGATGCCAATTCCCATGACTTTCTTGCATCCTTTCGAAAACTATGATGACGGTCGGGGAGCTCCATTCCTAATCTTCTGCAGTATGGTTGTCAGATTGTTCACCAGGACCTTGTCACCTTCTTGGAAGATTGCGCGGTGCAGACCACCCGGTCAATGTGCCTTGTCGCGCTTAAGGATTGAAATATCATGCTGGATTTCGGTTGATTATGGCTGGTTAGGGTCGGCCTTTCTGGTAGAAATAAGATCTGCTGATCTCAAAGACATCCAGTGTTCATTCACTCGAGTCAGATGGCCTGGATAAACTATTCCAAAAGCTGAAAGCATAGGTTCTTCAGCTTGCTTCCACTCAAACGCGAAGCAATCTTCGTCATCTGCATGACCGTGCGTTTCCAGTTGCATTCTAGTCAGATCAATCCGTGACTCTTTAGCTACTGAAACTTGTCGAAGTTATGAAAGAAGATGCTCTCCTTTAAAACGCATAATGCTGACGTAAGGCGAAGTGCTAACCGGGACCGTGCGATGGCAACCTAAGAGTCAAAAGGAAGAATAATCCGTAACTGAGGGACCAACTGGTAACTGATGAGCACATGGTCCATAATTCTAGTGTGATTGATGGTCTTCAAATAACTAGATGTGAGTGTTTGGGCAGGAAGTTCGTACTGGCCAGGAACAGACGGTGATCAGCACACAACTGAAGCAGTTGCTCCCTCTCATCCATGCGCTCAGTACCGCCTCAAAATCTACCACCTAATTGTGCTTCTTCCGGACTTAGTCGTCCAACTTGGGTATTCATATCACTCGACAGGATAACTATATCCGCTCTTCTTACCAACCGAAGAATTCGTGACAGATCTTGATGAAACAGGTCCTTATCAATCTCATAACTGCAGTCTGTCAAGGCGTGTGCTGATACCACAAATAGATACAGTTTGTCGCGTTGACCTGAATTGATCTTAATTGAGCCAGACAACCGCACAGCGCCAAAATGACCGTTTAATGGGATCTAATCTAGTAGGGAACCTTCAGCCTCGACGCTGAGTGCAATTCCCACACCGCAGATACCATCAGCCATTGCGCCAAGATCACCTGGTACTCGCAAAGTGAGATGTGGGACATCTGAGCTCGTCCTAAGCAACTTGAGGTGCACGACCGAATATGGGCCTTATATGCGTGATTCGGAGACACAACATACATCGATAGAGAGTGGAAGCAATATGTCGTAAGAAATGCCTGTTACCCAATTTGACATAGAGTACGAAGAGGGGGTTGAGGTACCCAATATTGAGACTGACTCAAAAGTCTTACCCACAAGGAAGTGGATGTAGTATTTCGTTCGAAACCCCTTCCCCAAGCCTCTGACTCAAAAGTCTGAACCGCGAGATAGCGGTTGTTAGGACCACGACTCAACAGTCCGACTCACTTGGCTGCAGGGGCATAGTAAGTGCCTTTTAGTGGCACCGGACTCTTTGGTTTCAAAAGTATTTCGAATAATGCGCCGGCGAACACGGTTAGCCATTGGGCGACTGGAGTGTACAGTTTTTAGAGCCGACATTTTACAATCCGTCCCTCTTCAAGGGAAGACATCACCGCTACTTCAGCCGTAACACCCTTTCGGTGCCTGCCTGCATTGCCACCCGAAGGAAGCACGAGGACTGGGATACCGCCAGGTTGCCCAAGCCTAGAAAGGGGGAGTCGAGAGACAGAAGTCGAGTTCCAACCACGGACCTACCGAAAAGTGAATTCGCGCTCTAACCACTAGAGCCATCTCGCCTTACTGCCTTCACACTCCCATCGCAGTGGATAGTACGACTTTATCTCCAAACTATCCCGTAAAGCGATTATTTGCAGTACGGGGACTCGTTGTTCTTCGTCGGGTTGCTCCCCGTTAGCTTCCCTGATATGGTTGAGCCTTAAGGAAGTGAGGTTTAGACAATATGGCCCACAGAGTGATTGTAACACAGAAGCCCGACCACCACCACAAGCTGACAGCTTTAGGAAACCGTAATACTGACTTCGTCCTCTAAACAAGTGACTATCAGAAAATATTCGCAGGGACTGCATATCGTTAAGCTCCTAAAGTTTGCATGAAGGCCTCACAGAGAAACCCAACTGATTCAGGCGTCGACCGACATCAACCACATTCCGTCCGATAAGCCATAATAGGGAATTATTATTGCTGACTTCGTTTAAAACGAGGTTTGGTTGTGCTGAAAAGTTGAGTGTTGTTAGTTGCTTGGCAACGTCATGCAAATCGTACATTGAAATTACGTTACTCCTGGCTCGTGACTTAGATACAACTACCAAAATCCCAGATCCAAGTTAAAATATACGGCGGAGGACAGCAACGACTCAGCTTTGAGCCCAGTTGAAAGGAGAACAAGGGGAACAACCTCACATCCACAAACAACAGCAAAGAAGCATGCTTTGACAAGTCAAACGGGTGATTAAACCTGAGAGCATGAAACAGGCATACCTGATCCATAGGCTTGCTCTCACCGGGTGAACTACCAGTGGTGCGACCAGGGGAACGATTTGGTTGTGGACGTGTAAACACATCAGACGGCGCTGAAGCCAGAAGATGGTCAAGGGGCTAATTAGGCCAAATCAATAAGCTAACGAAAACATATCGTCACCGGAAGTAGAACATCACCACAAACGAAGTGCAAGGATAAGGATCAAAGCATTCGCCGAGATTTACCTGCATCACACACTTGGACGATGCTCCTGTCTTGAGGTGACTGTACTGTCCGGATCAATAAAAGTAAAGAAATGAAGTAAAAAATTTCCCCTGTGAAGGTACTCCTCGCTGACTTTTTAAGCATATTCCCATAGCATACTTTCTTCCAGGCTAACCCACCTGTAAGGACCTCTAACTTGGTGACTTTCGCTGATACTTGCTTACACATCGCAGGACTAAAATAAATTGATTTTAAAGTAGGGCTGATGGTGGTCTTCGTGGGTAGTTGAAAAGAGCACAGGAATAGTTGAGGAGGGAAACGCTAGAAAAAAAGCGTCTTTCATGCTTCATCTTCTGGCTGCAACGGATTGAACGTAAAAAGACTCAAATAAATAGAATAGAAGTGGAGAATTCTGCAAGTGGATCTAACACACAACATCTGGGTTATGTGAGGAGTTCGACTTGGAGTACATTGACGTAAAAGGGAAGGCGAACATCGCTAAGTCAATTTCTGTAAAAACGAACCGAACGAATCTCAGGAAAATCAGGTGTGAGGCGGAAAGTAGTGTCTTCAGCAGCTGGGAGTTGATCTAGTGCGACAATTTTGGACTGGTGTTGTGGGAATTCAAAAGTCAATTCACTTAGGTGGACTAAGAAAGAGCTCCGGGGTTTGGGGGCTACTATCCAGACTCAGTCACTTTGAGTAATATTCTATGATCCTCTTATGCAAATCCGAGACCACATGACCTGCGCGAGTGGCGTCATATGCACATATGCATTGATAAACAATCAATTCGTCTTTATATTGTAAATGCAGCGGAGATAAGTTTGAGGGCAGACATCTGTTGTCCTTGTTTCGGCTCGATTCTGCACACCACGGGAAAGTAACTGACTGGGGTAATCGTTTGCCCCTCAGTACGTCTGTCACGTAGCTCACATTCCAGTACCACCGAGGTATACTTTCCAAGCTCTTGATGCAAACCATTGAACAGGATTACACTTCTAGTGTAGAGGGACAAAGTTATGAATATCCTACAAACATACACGGTTGTTAAACTGAACTGAGATTCCAGACCAATAGCTGCCATCTTGACGTGGTACTCGGGCTGGAACTGGCCGGAACTTCGTTCCTTAAAGTTCAACCATGCCAGAAAAGCCGGAGGCTAACAACCAAAGATGATTAAGCTCCCGTATTAGGGGTAATCATAATACGAGAGGGCTGGGGGTGAAGTTGTACAGTCCTCCAGGACAACGCAATACAAAGAGAAAAGCAACATTTCAGACGGAAATCATTAGCAACCAGGTCTACCGGATCTTGGGACTGTGGAAGATGTGCACTGGACCGGAGAATTATTTACTGCCTCGTTACATGGAGCGTAGTTTAACCAGGCACACAAAAACTCGTTTCTTTATTAGCATAGTGGAGAGTTCAATGATTCTGAGTAATAGACTGGTCAACCTTGTACATGGATAGGAAACCGAACTGTTTACCCCTTATGAGATAGGTTTTGGGACTACAACAAGCAATACTACGAGAACAGATTTAGTGAGAAACATTTTAACTAGTTACATAGTACGTGATACATGAGATTACTGCCAATTCCACCTTTTTAGGGAGTGTGGTATCCTCCAGAACTTAAAGAAGATGGTGATTCTCTCAAGCAATTAAGGGAATCTGTCGTGAAAACGCGTGGAACACAATAGCTCAGCCATCAAGGAAGAGAGCCACAAATGGGGTCAGAAAGACGCAAATATCTTTTGTTCCTGACTGAGCAATATCCCCAAGGATGCTGGAAATTGTTTGGAAGCCTGCGACTAACTTCGCTTTCCTAGGGGATTATCAGGTTAACCCTGTCCCCACGTTTCTGACGACCTCAAGTTTTATTTAAACCCAAATTAGAAGCAATCCGAGAAATACAATTACTTGTGAATTCAGTTGATCTCAACGAAAGATTCGACTGAATTTGCTGCATAAAGACCTCCTCATGTCCCAGTTGGTTGGTACACTATCCGAAATGCCGCAATTTATTTTCTCTGCGGAACGCATTACCTGTAAGTGTACTGAAAATTCGTTGACAGCCTGTGATTTGTTTCGCCCCTCTTGAGGTCTTTCTGCAGTGCGTTCAGTTGAAGAATAACGTAAACGAGAGTTTCAGTGGAGTGTCTTGTGAATGTTTCGTCCAATTTTCCCTTTTAAGTACCACTTGTTCACACAAACCTGCCGAGAATGGGAAATCTATGTCTTAAACAATGATGTGTTGAAGACAAGAATGATTAGAATGCGATCTTTTGTTTCGAATAGTATGTAAAAAAAATCGCACGAGCCTGAGGGCGATATGTACGGCATTTCATAGCGCAAGACATAGAGGTAAAATTTGTGACGTAAACGTACCAATCAGATCTGCAGTTGAAGTTGCTATGAGGCATACACAATTCTGGAAATCCACCAGAGCGAAACCAGATTCACTACCAATGGCCAGGCTGAGAGGAAAGAAAAGGTGAAAATTCAGACGCATTAATCAGTTCACCAGCAGTACAGATATATTCACTGGTTATGATAAGTTGGTTGTCCTGAGTGCTCGTCCAGGAATCCATTTTGGTTAGAACCATCCAGTTTGATTGTTGGAATGACACAAAAAGATTTCAACGACCATACGGTGAGGATAGATGGTTAAAGCAGGCCGAAGAGTAATTAAATAACTGTATTGCAGTTTTGGTGAATAAATTCTGTTTTGCAGCTCTCCAACCCTTCCACGAACGAAAAATCGAAATTCGTCCTACTCATTGATAAGACAAGGTCAGCCATCCTGATGGATAGGGTAACTTACAAGATATCCCTGACTTCGTGAACGACGAAAAAACCGGAGCAATCAAGATTACACCCAAATACGGAAAAATTAACCATCTTGAACTGACAGAAAACAGTAGAGCGTCAGCGGGTTCATCATTGGGTACCATTTGCAACAGGCTAATTGTTCGATAGGCCTTGATTCAGGGAGGCGTTTCGTTAGGATTATATGATATCGTGAGTTGAGCAAATATGGATTAACTCAATTGCAGAAGTACGATGGTTGTTTTCGATTCATCAGCGTCATCCGGATGCTCCGGAAAGATTTCGCTTCTGCTGGTATTAGGAAACCCTCCCTAAAAGGAGATCGTAGCACCAGTTCAGTGAATATACACGGTCGAACTGGCTTTGTCCTAATTAGTCATTTTTAGTGAAGCCATAAACATAATTCGTTTCAACAAAGTTATTGGAACCAATATTGCACGGTAAAACTTTAATACCACTTCAGAACAACCCATAACGGTGTTCGGGTAACAAAAGCTGAGTCGTAAGTGGTTCAGCTGGAGACCCTAATCTACAATCAGTGTGCATCTGTGAAAAGCAATACCAATGCGTTCCACTCGGATGGAACGTTACACAACAGAGCCTGATATAAACGGGTTAAATCTATGCACTTTGCCAAATCGTCGCAGACAGATCAGGACACAAAGAATCCGTGTACTCCAAGACTAGATGAACTATTCTTTCACGTCACAGTTAATACGAAAATGTGAATACGTTTTTCAAGGTGACTACTCACCAAACAGCCATTTATAGACAAAAAGTGGGGAATCATTACCACGAATATTCAGTCCTTTCGTGTGGAACATAAAAATTTCCAAACAGATGATTCCTAGCCAAATGAGTACAAGCAATGTAACAGCGTCAGCGAACGCACTTTCGTAATAGGTGTTATGTCGAACTTATTCTAGCGCTGTCTCACGTAGCGTTGCTTGAGCTGAGGGGGTTTCAATGTGATTTCAAGCAAGCAGTCTAGAAACCGAGCAACAGACAGCGATCTGTTTTTTTAGCACCAGTTGATCATAAACAAACCAAATTTTTGTTCGCTGATGTAGAGAAACAGCAAAGAACGATAGGGTCCTACCCAGGGACAGAAGCAACCACGTTCGGAATATGCAAATAGGCTGTTACTGCTGTGATGAACTTTCACAAATCAACTGCACAAGCGAATATACTGTGGCTGAGGGCTTGTGAAATGAAAAAAGAACACGCATCAGTTGTTTGATGGCTGTCAGGCCGCACGGTAGCGTCAGTGTGCGCAGCATCCACTGAGCAACCATAAAGAGTGTCAGAAAGGCAATGTGAGTATGTGGTGCAGAGAGAGAGAGAGAGAGTGAGTGAGTGAGTGAAACTAGGGTACAGAGAGCATGACAAACACACTAACTGACGGCAATTTGAGCTGCCCGGAGAACTTACAGGCCATATTTGGAATTTAAACTAACTGCAGTGATTGGTGGCGGGGGGATTAAAGTAGGATCATTTGGACTACAGTCGAAGCCATACGAGGGAATGCCCATCCGACAAATCAACGTGGGTTGATAACCCGGATGCCAGGTAACGGAACCGGGACGAACTGGAACAAACACTCGGACGTCCTGAAAATTAGACCAGAAAACGGGATAGGGTAAAACTTGCAGACAAATGTAAGGCGCATGCCAGTTTTCAAACAATCCGAATTTTATCATTGCCAGGGCCATACTGTGGTACAAACTGATGACAAAAGCGAAAAATTCATAGTGCGTAAATTTGTTACCTCGCCCTTAGTGGGCCACCTCATGGTTGTTGAGATATACTGTAACCTAGCAGTGAGCTTTATTGACTCAACATGACAGGAGTTGGTTCCGGCAAGAAAAAACGAGGTTGACAATCAGTGAACGCAATCAGTCAGTGTAATCTATGACTGAACAAACGTCCTGCAAAAAAAAACAGGACACGTCATACGTCGATCTACTCCTAGATACTTTCTAACTGGCATACGGCTATGCGAAAAAGGCTTATCAAGGAATGCATTTAGCTGTAATGCAGAAAACTACTTTCTACTGTACGGTCAAAATGTGACGTATTTCCAGGGTCCAGGATGAGCGAAACCGAGAGCTACCTGAACTATTCAGTAACGCCTACGTCGAAGGTTCTTGAAGCTTCAAGGCTAGGTTGCGAGAAATCAAACAACCAAGTAGTCATTGACGGAAACGTAAGTGTGCCATAGTCTGTAATTCAACAGTCATGAGACTGCCAAAGATAGTGGTGGGTAGAAAAGCTGTATACTTAGGGACCAGCCGTTTAATTGACTCGTATACAAAAGAGCGATTCGTTAGCCTTGGAAGAAGAGTCAGGTACTCGGAAGATACCTTGCCAGTTTAGTTGGCCGAAAGCCTATGAAAGATGAATCTATGTCAACGGAACACGGCTCAGGAAAACGCCAAGATTACGGTGTATGTTTCCGATCACCAGGCTGTAATTTGATTCTGGTTTACAGGCTGTTACACTCAAGGTTAGGGTGACCTAGCGGTACAATAACTCTCGTGCTTTCTTGTGGAGCAGCTCAGTGTTTGAAACATTGATAATATCGGAATCTAATGAGAACCAAAGCAAATAGAAAAATGACCTACACTATCTGTGGCAAAAGCTGAACCAACGCTATCGCTTGGGCATGTCCGCCGCGTACGTGGAAACGCGTCTTTGGAAGTGGTCCCAAACGCAGACTGTTCCTCGGAGAACGGATCGGTAATACCGGGCCCAGTTACATCTTCCAAACAGTCGTAGGCCATGTTAATATCGATGACCTGTCGGGTAAAACATGAGACAACTTGAACATGAATGGCAGAAGAGAATGAAAAATATTCAGTGTAACCGAGTGTAAACTGATGAGCTCACCTCAGTTGAAGTTCAACAAGTACATATCTAGCATTGACGGCATTCATGCATTGACTAATATGCAGAGAGTTCTCTTACAAAATGACAGTAATTGAACAAGAGAGGTCGACAGGTGGCCTGCCAGGTAGTTTTTGAAACGGTGGTTTATCAATAACAGTCAATGACCTACACTATCTGTGGTGACTTTGGAATAGGGTTTGGTCGTGCGTGAGCAACAATCGTGTGGTTGAGACGCGGTAAACACCAAAGGTCCCAGACAATGCCTAATATCCCTACATCACTCACCGACGATTGTGTCGCAATCGCTGTTGATCGTAACATGACAACCAAGAGAAAAAACATCTAACGACAGGTACGAATAGCTGTCTTGAGAAGTTATACGGGTGAGGATAGGTTGAGGGAGAATGGAATTTGTCGCAAATCGCTTAGACATGATGAAAAAGACGCTGTTTCACCAGGGAGGAGCCAGAAATAAAGAAAGTTAGCTGACGACGTAACTCACATAAATAAGCCATGAAATGTTTGGAAAACGCAGTGCCGCATAGAGTAAACGAACATAGGGACAATACACCCAACTGCAAATCAGTTTGGTTTTCACAAGTAAATTAACTGAGACTCTCGTTCATGATATTTTCCATGCACGAGGGATACGGTTGAGTATGCGTGAAAACTAAACTCATGGGCAGTTGGGTGTATTGGTCCTATCTTCTATGCAAATGAGTGTTTCTGTCGAAATCCGTCCAATTTGGGTTTAAGTAGAACATAAGATTGATGGAAACTCAGGGATTGCGCCTACCCAATGAGTCCCAAGAAGAGCGTAACCAGTCGTGGGCTGTTGAAGAGATTTTAGTAACCTTGTGAGTACTTTACAAAGAAGATGTGAGCAATTCATGACGGTATGATAGTTGGAGCCGTTACTGATGACGTGATAAATGATGAAAATAAGATTATCGCTATCATTTTCTTGCACTGTGCGCTGGATTGTGCTGAAATACGATGTTTCGTTCGAGCTACTTGAGAGGACAGATGTCACACAGCTGGAAACATTTGGTTTACGGAAAGTCCTTAATTGGGATACTTATTACGGTTAAGTCCGACAAATATAGCTAGCACTGAACGAAAGCAAACTTCAAACCTTGGAAAGAAAATCAGCCGAGTGGTTCACTTCGATGAATCATCGTGAGTGATTGATAAATTACCCTAATTTTTTCAGATATTCTGTATCCACACCTTCCTTTTTTGAGATCTTCCCCTCTTGGCCAGGCAAGACTTTCCTGATCAGTTTTTTTAAGTAGAAAAAGGAGAGAACGGAAAAATCTACGACTGGATAACCAACGGGCGTCTGAATCCAAATTGCAGCCAACGAAGAACGGTCCTGTATCACCTTCAGATTCTCACCTATTTTGTAACTGTGCAACAGACACCGTTTTTTTCTCTTCTAATGGCCAGCCTTTTGAGTGAGTGATTATACTTGCTCCAGGTAGCTCAGTGATTGGGGCCGGAGGGTTCGGACCCCAGAATCAACCCCGGCATCTTGACTACTCTTGTCTGGGCTGGGCAACTTGGCAGTATCTCAGACCTCGTGCTTTCCTCAGGTGGCACGACACTTAGGAAGCGGAAGGGTGTAACAGCTGAACGACTATTATTTTATTACTTATTTATATTTGCCCACAGCACAAAGCTAGTCATGAGGACAGCTACGAGATTTCAGTCGTCCCATCGTAAGCCAAACAAAACCTTCCCCGGAAAACGCACGGCGACCTTGAGAAAGACTACAAACATCCTTATAGTCGGGCACCATTGGTCAACTACCTGTAATTTACAGTGGTGATTTAGTGATTTAGCATAACACTGAGCAAGGCTAGAACACTTATGAGGTGTCATTTACTTGATAAAATCCAAACCGACATCCATTTCCCACAAAACGATTACGGCACACTTAAAGTTCATTGCTCTGGATCGCGGAAAACAGGACGTGTAAGACTCAGAGCACGACCGTGGGAGATGTAAAATGATCCCAGCGGAAATATCGTATTTATTAGCTAGAACATAGACAAAAAAATAAGGCGTCTAGAAAACCAGCAAGATGGGCGGATGATATATGACATGTATGTTCTGCAGGTATTACTACAACGGTCCAAAAAATAATTTAGTTGATTCGGACCGTTTGTGTTGGCCATCACAAACAAACCTGCAATATTAGGTCACATTCTGTAACGCTGAATCGAACAGTGTTGGCGCCGAACATTAAATCGCCTCAATCCTACAAGGATACCCAAACGCTCCCTTTAGAAGACCATGAGGAGCTTCACTGCAGGCTGATACGCGTGTTCAAACTTCGAGTTTCTCAAATACGGAGGTGGTTTTGATGTAGCTATTATAGTATACTAACATGACGTTGCTTTCGTTGAACAGAGCGTCATTAACACAGGTGGCAACGAACAGAAAGGAGGATTAGCAAACAAAGACAGTGTAAAGTTGTTACCGTGATCCGGTTGACCCCTGTCGCAGGAAGGTTAGTTTTATAGATTTGATATGCGTGATTCCTTAGACTCGCTAAATATTTATCCCAGTGTGCACCCAGAGTCCTTACGCGCCTAAACAATGAAAATTCACCACCGAGTGGTTCGCACAGAACGGCTCAGCGTCGACTTGGACGGATTGCAGGGCTTCATCTAGAGGATTAAATCAGGTGACACAGGCTTGGGGCCCAAAATATCCTTGATTGTTAGAGACGTGCTGAAAGAAAGCACTAAATGAAAGATATTGAGTCAGAAGTGAATACGCTGAAGGGTAGCTGAGATCACGGACGATTTTTGTGAACGCTAAGATTGCAGTTTGTTCCGACTGAGCCAATACTTGGTCCAGCTATCATGATGCGGGGATCGAAAACCGTTCCTCCGACAGTTTCATCATTGTACACCGAACTCTCGTTGTCCTCGGCGAAAGAAAAGCTTGGTATTCGATAAAATCCATTGCATTAATCCGCGGCTAATGAGACTTTTTTATGATGCGATGTAACTGTACCTATGAGCTTCAAAGGGAGTTGCTGATAATGAAATAACCTGCAGTAAGAAGTTATCACCCTGTGAAAAAGATGCCAGGAAATGTACCAAGGGTTCTCCTTTATGTGTCGGCCACTTGCGACCGTCCAGAGAACGATTAACAACACTGGTGTACAGCCTATGTGGACGTCGGACTTCTACCGACCGTTGGCTAGAGACGTGTGCACGCACGCACGCACGCACACACACTACTCATCGTTACATGGCTGCATGCGACCGTGAGACGCGTGCGTTCATTACAGTGTGGTTGCTTGGCTTGCGCGCACAAAATTAATCCAGGCTATACTGCAAATGAGTTTGGGATAAACGTAGTCAACTGAAAAGCACGGACGAGCACCGCATCAATAATAATGTACGAAATATCGGCCAGTTTCATGTTTGATTATATGCAACGATAAACCGAACGATATCAGCAACGCACACACACACAGAGGTATGAAAACGCAGAAGATAATTGGAGGGGAAAACGGCAAATGAGTTTGGGATAAACGTAGTCAACTGAAAAGCACGGACGAGCACCGCATCAATAATAATGTACGAAATATCGGCCAGTTTCATGTTTGATTATATGCAACGATAAACCGAACGATATCAGCAACGCACACACACACAGAGGTATGAAAACGCAGAAGATAATTGGAGTCCGGGGAAAACGGAGAGATGAGTGGAGGTGGTGGGCAATTAATCAGGAACTCAGCTGGAAGAACCTGACATGACAGATGAGAAAACATTTGGAAATCAATCTCTCGTGAAGCAGTGTGTGTATGGTGGAACTTATTCCCACAAGCAGGGTTTGGCAGTCGTTAGTTCAAGTCAAACACAGTGTTTTCCAACAGGAAACTTCCTTTTGGATTGCTTCATTGTCTATTAGGGGAATTTCCTGTTTTTCCTTCTGATTGGTCTCCGGTCAGGCGAACACATAAATACTACTTTTGGGAACCCACGACAACTGGATAGTTGAACGCTCTTCAAATACGAATTGCCCTAATCATATCAATCACTTTTGGCTTGGCGAACAGTGAATTTTCTACGAGTACATCACACGAACTCGCCACTAAAGTAAGCAACATACCAAGCACACGTATTCGGTCAGCTGAGAGAAAAGCCTGTTGCCCTTAAAGATAGGCATTATAAGCTCTGGAAAAGAAATTAAATTTTCACCAACAGAAGCGAGGACTGGACCAAGGAGTGCCGGACATAAAGGTCCTCGGACGGGAAAATGAGCGTGACGATAACACTCAACCGTCTACGCTAGCTGGGAACGTTTGCCCAGAGGACAGAAAAAGGATTCCGAGATTACTACGTGGCCAGCTTACATGAGGAAGCGGAACTCTGACAGACAAAGGCTTCGATATCTCGATAACTTGGTTTCGTGGATTGGAAAGCGGAGGCGCAAAACAGGACAGTACGAACTGGAGTTCATTAAAGCAACGATAGCCAACTTCGAGTCAGTGATTTGAAGCGTGTAAGATGCAAGGTTATCATTGGAGTTGCCGGCCTTATAGACCGGACAAGTTGGATAAGCAGTCATTGCGGTTGTTTGTGCTGGTAGAATTCTGTTGGTTATTCACCAGATGGCACATAATGATTCGTTCGCAGCTACATTACCAGAGTACCAGACGACTGAGCCTAGAAATAACCTCCCATAACCATCATCATACAGACCGAAACCTACGAAAACATCTTAGCACACTGAACGGTTTGGTGTGCTAAGCCTACGAAGATACTAGGGGTGACTTCCTAAGACCATTGTAGTGTATATCAGGAGGATTAACATCTAACACTAGCTGGCCATATACGAGGGCGCGTTTAGTGTGCGGTGCGGAACTCAACTGCTCAGTTGCCCATTATGAGCTACCAGCTGGAGAAGCTGATGACTTTAGAACTGTCCGCCCCGTCCACTCTCTCTATTCGCTATGGTGTACAGCGTATACAGCGTGTTGAGGTAAATGCACACGTGGTTCAGCGCTAATTTCATGTGGCATTACCTATTGTGCGAGGCTATCCACGCGCGTAGTTTGGTGTACCGGGTAATTGTAAACGGATACCAGCTTACTGTTGCATGGAAATGCACAGCGTTTTCGCTATCGACTGTTTCTGTGTCTCGGTCTACCTACACGGAAGTGTTCCGTGAAGTCTTTCTGTGGACAGTAAGCTGTCAGTTGTTCCTATCTCCGGTCGATCTATTAGACGGCTTATCACATTTAATTTCTTTTCGGTTGAGCAAAGCTTAGTAAAAATTTTCCAAAGGAGAAAAATTGGACATCGGATGGATCCATCCTAGGTGGTTGATCTATCAGAGTCCGTGTAAAATGTGCGTGACCAGGTAGTGGATCGAAGACAGCACATTTGTACGGTATAGTTTTTCATTAAAAAACCCGACGCTTTATATCTGTCGTGGAAATGGTACCAGTTCATACAGAATTCCACTTAGTTTTTCTTCCCCTGTTCTAATTTTGAAGAAGTCATCTGAAAGCGGATTAAACGAAAACCCTATGAGTGCATCGTCCACCTAGGGGGCGGGGAATTTCTCTAGGGAAATTCGCGTACGACGCAACTGCTTCAGTTCATGTGAGGGGATTCCACATAATCACACACCACTGTCAAGTGTGGCCTGCACTTAGCTCAGGAATTCGACTCTGAAAGTCCTCAAAAAGATAATGTTTTCACTTCTCCTGAGGTCACTCGAGAGGAAGGGGGTAGATAAATAAGAGGAGATATGTGATGTTGTATCGCCATATAAGGACCGTTTGAGAAAACGTCTCTGGCACAAGCGATGATGAGATAGCTCCAGCGCATTGGTCAATAAAAAGAGAAGCCTCAGTTGCAATTTGACAGGAGGGTAATGTGCGTAAGTGGCCTAAATGATAGACGGGTGGACACAAGGCCAAGAAATCAGTTCAATTGGTTGTAGGACACAAGTATTTAACTCTCATGACCTCATACAATAGAAGGTCAGGTCAGGTATGACATGGACTCTTGGTGGAAGGGTCAAAGTTTTCAGCCTAGTTCAAGCAGAGTGGGTGACAGATGACAAACTCGACCTAAGCTGACCGGCTCATGCGGCTGTTGTCGTAAACTGAGATGTGAGACAGCTGTGAAAGAAGTGAACCAGGAGCTACACAGCAGTGAAGTTGTGTAGCTAATCTAGACCAGATTTTTTTAAATCCTTAATCAACCATCGACTTTCTCAACTTTTCATAACACATTCTCGTGACTCCCAGCGAAGAAAAAATTACTTGTGTGCAAGAATGAGTGAATTCAGAACGAGACATGGGACAATTCCGTCGTAATTTGGGGAAAATTATGCGACAACGATCCACGAAAACTGATCTCGAAATCAACCAACTGTTAAGGCACAAAAACTACCGACAGGAATATTCGTGGTTCGAACCCAAACAAACGCTTCTTGATCACAACTGTCTAGGCTCGGGCAAGCTGGCATTATTATAACTCTCGTGCTTCCCTTGAGTTGTACGGCAACAACGCACCAAATGTCTGTTGCTGGATTAGTGTAAGTAGCATGCAAGTCACTGTGCCCTGTACGACACAGAGGTATCATTAGAACTACAATGATGCCCTCTGGTGTAGCAAGAGACATAGAACATTTCAGGCCTAATTATTCCAATGAGCAGTACCATACGCAGACGAATTGAAGAACTCTTCCAGGGGTTGAGTTATGTCTGTCACAAACACACCGACACCGGTTTCGAAAGACCATGAAGGGGTGTGAACTTGCGATCGGAGGATTACACAGTCGATGCTCAGTCAAACCACTAGGTTGCCTTTCAGAAATGTAATGAACTACTGATCTGGCATGCACAGTTCGAGCGGGGGCAAGTAGCATCTGTGCTGATAAACTCTGATGATTCCTCACAAGGCAAAGTCTCGAAAATGAACGCAAAACATAAGTGCTATCAGATAAATTGACCGCCGCTGTACCGTACTTTGACAGGCGCATTGCACGCGAAAAGTGCGAAGCCATACATCATGGTTTCATATGCTCATGGAAGTTGTGGAGCATTTCGCGTTCTCGGTAGACGCCTGAGTCCCGACAGAGGCGTGTCCGATGAGTTCGGTGCACGAAGCTGAGAGGCTTGAATCACCTGTGATGTCACGAAAACCTCAAGTTGTCACTTTGACCTGGCTTGAGAGCTGTCGAAATGCCGTACCTATACTAGCTAAAGTTCCCCTCAACAAGACTGGAAAGGTAAAAAAAAGTAGTCAGAAAAAAGGCATCCGGTCCTCCCTGACTAACGGTAATTCGGACCAGCCTGGGAACATACTCATTTTATCATCTATAATGACGTCTTTGGACTGCCAAATCAAGTTCAAGGCTAGGCGACATGGTAACCAGTGCTTATGTGCATATACCTCGACTGACTAGCTCGTAAGCTGATGAAGATACCTTATATTGGGGCTTATCTAAACGGCATTGGAGGGGAGAACACCAACATTATTAGCCTTTAATTCAATAGGAGTACTCAAGTTCATGAACTGTTTTCTGTATCAACACACGATCGATTAGTGCTCGAAACTCACAGAAAAGACGACAGGGAACGACTAGATCAGATATACGTCGATCACCACCTGTTCCTACCTGATTCCAGTTTTAAACACAAGCAAGTGAATCAGACACATGTTAGATACTAGGAATTGGATTACCTCGGCCAAATCATTTTGAACCTTGTCGAGCAACAACAACCGCAAGATTTTAGCCTTAAGCGAAACGCCGCTGATCAAATCGAACCAACCTAAAGCAGTTGGGTGGGTTGGCATTGGTCAACTTGCAGAAATCAACCAATCAATGTTCGTTCAACATTGTTTCCACCCTTAATTTCACACAACTTGCATGTTTTACCTCTGCGAATAAAGAGAAGGCAAAAAACGTCAACATATTGCAGCATGCCCTTTATCAGTTAGCTACAACGGTAGCAGGTGGGACTTCCCTAAATCCTAATATCGAAGGTTATTCTTTTCAAGGACAACTGAGTTGCAACAACTCGGAAAATAAGTTTCACAAGATTCGTGGGATCTGCGAAGTTGAGTGCAGCCATGATAACACGAGCATCAGGAGCTTTAAAGGACACCGAAATCTAATTGATAGTTAGCCACAATAAACCTGATCACAACCAAACTAACGTTCAAAAATGACGGTTCCAAAATGATAGCTTACAAGGAGTTCTGACGAAAAGGGAACAGATGAGGTCACTACCACCAATAAGATAAGCAGTAGTGGCAATACACAAGGGAGGCAAATGGGTAGCATAGCATTCGTGAATAGAACAGCACACCTGGTAGATAAACGATGACAGGCAATGAAAATAACCTGAAAAATACTCAGCTGCGCGGATATTCGGATACACACACTACTTACGGGGATTTCATATTGTTGCTCACGTCGAGAGAAATGCATCAGACAAACGTGAGCGCTACCAGCAATCAAAAGACGTCGTGACTCCGGACAGAAGTGCATAAACCGGACGGCGTAGGGATCCATCTCAGTTGATAAAAGAGTGGAGGCAAAATTGGAATTTACACCAGTCTCAGGAGGGGCAGAAGTTGTGGATTGGTCTTTCTCACCGGTTGATTGGGGGTTTTGCGTTTTGGTCGCATCGAAATACCGCAAAGTTCGGATCTTATATAACGGAGTCAGATTGACTGAAATTGGAGCGGAATAAGCCGGAATAATTTCAGGGGGAACGAGTAACCCAGTCATATGACATCAGAAGAAAACGATAACAAAAGCAAAAAAGGAAATTTGCTGAGTGTAGTTACCAGTAGAGTGGCCGAACAGATGGAGGGACGGGTGCATGCAACCGAAAGAACCTAAGAAAATGGAGATAGCATTGGTGGAAGTTGCTTGTCTAAGATAAAACTTCCGCCTAGTTTAAGTCGAAGGGTACGCCTAGCTGGCCTCTTAGGGAATTGAACACATCGGATGTAATTTTACGGTCGGGTGCACTTTCTGATTGAAATGAATGAGCTATCTCGCACTACGACGTTTAAAAACCTCTCAGTCTGCCTGCCAGACACCCCAAAATATTGTCACTGACCGTAATGTATCTTGACGCAGTTGCACCGGGTGGTGGCTAGGCAACCATGTGTGCGCGTTTCCGTTTACTGAATACACTGAAACACAGCAGTAGACACTATATCACACCCCAGAATCCTTTTTCTTTATTCTTCAGTGTGCCACCAAAACGATATTCATTTCAGGTTGGCTGTTTTACATTCAATCACTAATGTCTATATAGGAGATTCAAAAGTCAGCGAGTCACTCCACAAAAGCATTGTTTCTCTGGGAGTTCCTGTGAAGCAAATAACACCTTCCGTTCGGTTGATGTTCTGCACTCAGAGCCAGTTCACGAGTGGCCAGCTGACCACTCAAAACTGAACACAGGAATTCACAGTGCTTAGGTTTTCATTATGCGACCGAGCTTCGAGTAGGTTTTAACACCGGTAAGCCAACACATGGTTAAATGCTACGCAAAGGTGGTGTTTCGGTTACCACAGCAGGAGGATAGCGACAAGGCTTTGAAAATAGACAGCGACAGCAATAAGGTAAGAATGGGTCCTCGACAAGTTAGGATAAGTAACCAGCAGCAATTGAATGGGCTAATAGACGCCACAATTTGCGTGACCAAGTGTCAAAGACCGGAATTATCTTTCGACTTGCCAGTATACTGCATGTACGGATAAAAGTCGCGTAAATACACTCGACTCTCGAAGAGGTAATGGCTATCGGTAGTGAGAGCTTTGTGTCCAACTCACATGTGGTGCTAGTTGATCTGAACAAAATCCGCGAGGCTGTATATCATATATTCCAAACGACAGTGAAAGGGTGTTATTAATCCGAACACGGTTTCTGTTGAAGTGAGCCACTTGCGCATGACAAGGCAATGATGCCTGTTTGCTCGAAAACTTCGGAAGGTTTGGCTGTGTGTAACCTTGCGACGAAAAGGCCCAAAATGGACTGTGAATAGTATCCTGTGAATCTAAGATGAAATACGGAAATACGGCTTCCTTCCAGCTGAGTTTGACAGATGTTTTGAATCTTTATGGTGCAAATTACACGAAAGGTGCCTTGTCTGGACAGTAAGGAAGCGAACATGCTCGATAGACAAGTGAATTCGACTCAGATGTCTAGATGAAGGCGTGGTATTTAAGGCAGGCGGGTTGGGAGGGAGAAAGAAAGTAGAACTAATAATTCAATCCCTTACCTTCTGAAGCGTCCCAAAATCTCACGGAGCCATCGGCGTGTCTGCAGAAAAAGTGGTAAACAATGCATAGAAAATCAGAATTTGTGCACCCAAAGCTGAATGGACCAAAGCTTAATGGCAGGAATGATGTATTAGTCTAGAGTATGAGCTGGGTTTTTTTTACCGTAGTCTGGTCTAGTTAACTGGGCCATAACGCAAAAAAGCAGTGACTGTGACGGCCTACTTCACTGCTCAAAATTGGACTGGTGAGCGAGGACTGTGCAGCGGAAGCAACAGTACAATAAACGGACGTGTACTTTTAGGTAATACAATATAACGGTATAGATATACGGTGGTACGGTGTAAATTTCCTGATATTGTGACAGAACTATGGGAGAGGAAATGGAAATGAAAGAGCAAGTCTAAGAACAGAATACGATTAGGTACATCTCTGGGGGGTATTTATTGGCGTTTTTAACAAGATTCGAGATCTCGTCCAGTCATTTGACAGTTGCCAGTGTGATTGTAAGTCGCCCATCATTAGCCACTTTCTACCTGGACACTGTTGGACAAAAAGGCTCTGTGATGCATTAGAAGCGAGTCAGGTTGATTCACCAGCTATTCAACATCACCTCAAAAGACAGTACGGGCAGCTGCTACGGGAATTATTGTAGAATAGCCTACAGACTTGGCTTATCTCCTCTTCTCCCAAGAAAACACGAAGACGACATCAACAACGAACAGATTTTCAGCTGTGACACTGGATTTATAAAAATTAGAGTGAGCTACTCTTCGTATAAGTTGGCTACGGACGACCAATAAACAATAGACAGGAAATCTCAGAAAGGCTGCTGCAAGTTGAAAATCTTGAGCAAAAACACGTTTGAAAGAAATGTCAAAACATCACAAACGAGAGATTCAGCTTGGTTCCAGGTGAGTCTCTCGCAGAACCAAATTAGTTTGCAAATGAGTGCATTTCGCTAATACCGAAGTCTGTTTCTTTATGACAGACGCTACGACAGAGACTTACGGCTCAGCACCCTGAACATATGACATGGTATGTACAAGTATGGTCGCAAAAGGGCATTGCAACTGTGAGGCTCCTCCCCAAGTCTTACCAGAGACTTGATCTACCGGCGTACATCTAATCGAAGTAAATGAGAGAAATATCTACCTTTTGTCAGATGGGTTATTCGGTGACACGGAACCTTGCGGTTAAGTGGCCACACAGGTGGGTCATAAGTTCAAAAGCACCGGTTTATAATCGGGTTAGCTAAATTAACAGTGGGCTTTTACGTAGGATCTGGGTCCCTGACGAAGGTATCTAGAAGCTGACTGATTGGCGAGCCCCAAGACAAAGACCCTGGTTCGTTGTATATGTGGGAATGGTGTACTTCTGTGCACTAATGTCAAGCCTTTCTGAAATGGAACCAGCTTTACTCGTCCCGACTCTCCTCTATGATGTGAAGTATAAAAAATCACATCAGCTGGTCGAATTGTGCTAGTAAATTTCACCAGCCTCCGCACATATGACATCTTGTCACATTGCTGTTTACGTGTGCAAAGCGCAAACATTGGGGGCAAAACCAGCAATTTCAGAAAGTGAAACCGAGGGTATGGTTTCACACAGGATCACAACTACACACAGACATTGTTTGATGTTCGCGACAATCCAAATAATGAGTCGATCTGTTTTGTCGGAATAATTCCGAGGGTCGGGAGGAAAACAAAAACGGAGATTTAAAAACTACATATTTATGATAGAAATGAATGCACTTTCATGAGGGGAAAAAATATCCACCTGTTCCCCACACACTCACTTCTAATTCGCCGTACACATCAAAAATGTTTTATCTTCTATTGGTTGAGTTGGGTGGTGGATTTCAGTTGCAGAATAGCTCATGCGCACGGAAGTAATGGAACCACTGCACTTTCCATTACATCGTCATTTGGCGCTTCGAAAAAGGAACCATATGGTTTGCCACAGAGTACTTAAGCGCCTAAATGCTCGAAATAGGTTATTTTTACAGGACGTTCCGACAGCTTAGGTTTGATATCACAAGTCATCTGGTGTCCTCTGCTCCAACATTGGTCCAAACAGCAAAACGGAGGGACGACTGACCACATGGTGAATTTGCTTAGCTAGCAGGAGTTCACCACGCCCAATCACAATTTCGTTATGCTCCAGAAGGTTGACAGCCAGCTTTAAACAGCTGGGGCTCTCTACCTAGCAAGTAGCTCGCTTCTACCAACGAAAAGTTTGTTTTCGGATGGGTCGGCGATGTGGTGTTATTTGATCACACAGAAGGGACCACAACCTCAGCCCTGAGGGAAACAGGTGAAAAGTGCTGGAACCGGGCTGAAAATTTGAACAACCAGCGAACTTGAGCAATACACTGGCGACTGACTTTGTTTCCTACAACTCGGCTTGCCCATTCATTCCAGGCGTTAAAACCGAACTAGGTTGCTGTGGTTCGCAGACAAGACGAAGTGTGAGGGGTAGAGTTCAGCATTGCATTTTTCTTGCGTAAGGCGCTAATCTAGCACCGATTAAACGAGCTTAGTTGCAGAGTCTCCCAGTAACTGGGTGTATGCGATGGCATTTGCTGACACATAAAGAACGGTATAGTCGGTTCAACTTAATCGATTGTGGATCAATACAGCATGTTCGAATTCTACAGCAGTCCTGTGATCAATAAATATGGGAACTAACGGTTACGGTATGAATACCGCCAATCATCGATTTTTAAAGAAAGACTATTTTCGAATACTGAACTCTAAAGTAAAAGAATCGTAACACTACTTCGGTGTCTACTTGTCATGCCCCCACCCTCCGATGGAAGCACGAGGGCTTGGATACTGTCAGGCTGCTCAAGCCGAGACAAGGAAAGTCGAACCACAGACCTTGGGGTAGTAAATCCATGCCCTAAACACGGAGCCACCTCGCCTCGTACTGAAGACTGGCGCTACTTTGTCTCCAGAAAACATATAAAAATAAGTGGGGGCTTGTCATAATATCTGCTTGCAACCCATCTGACATTGCTCGAGAGACCGCTATTTTACCAGTGAGACCTGCTAACATGACCTGTGTGGAATTTTAGGGGTAATCAAACATAATAAATTTGAAACCAATGTCTGGTTTGACAAAACTGAGTTCGGCAGAGCGACCGAAGTCGAGAAATTTATATTCAGGGCCTTATTTATTGACAAAATGCGGAACGTGATCACCGGTTTGTGACAAACCATTTGGAATGTGCCCCCACTGCTCAAAAAGGGTTTATAGCTATGAAAAATGTTAACTCAGGTTGTCACTGGGAAGCGTCCGCATTTCACCGGTACATGTAGGGCCAGCGGGAAACAATAAACCCAGTGATATTTTGAACAGTACACTCTTGACCTGAGAAAGTCCACACACAGGCTGGATCCGATTAACAAAACGAGGCTATAAACAGGAACGTAGTGGAGTTACTTTGTTTTATGGGTTTGTGAAGGTGTTTCTGGGGCGAGATAGCTCAGTGGTAAGAGAGCGAATTTGCTGATCGGAAGGTCCGTGGTTCGAACCCAACCTCTGCCTCTCAACTTTTCCTGTCTAAGCTTGGGCAAACTGGCAGTATCCCAGCCTTCGTGGTTCCTTTGGGTGGCACGGCAACTAGGCACAGAAAGGGTGTTACAGCCGAACGATTATATTATTATTCTATGTTTATAAGAGGAACACGGAAATCGGTGAAGAGGTATAAATGTCCCGAAATAGTTTTCAAAAACAAGATACCACTAACACATTACTCACCGAGTTTAATCTAGGTAGCCACACCCATTCAAGTAGCACTATTCAACCATACGGGGGGTAGCTATTTCGTTCGAGTTCTAGTGTATTACGCATTTTTCTGGCCATAACAGTCTAATGAAGGAACATCTTTTCCTCTCAGTAGACATGATAACTTCAGAAGACACTCCAATATGCAGTGGATGCTCTCCAGGACTGAAAGCAGACGAACATAAACTACCCATCCTACCTAAGTTGCTGCTAATGACAAGTTATAGTGTTGGTCACGATATCTCAAGAGGAACATAGCTGTACCGTTACCATGTAAATCCAATTACTGAGTAAACCTATGTGGAAATGTAGGGTCCCACCAGTGTGGGTTGCTACGGAAAATTCTCGAAAAACATTCAACGGAACCATGAGCGTAAAATTTATTTTTTGTGCTTGTTGAATTTCAAATGAAAGCGGAGATGAAGGGGTCGCGAGCACGCGTAAATCAACTCGCAGGAAGTCAGTGATAACTAACTTGATGAATGGAATAAATGTGACAGCGGAAAGGAGAACGTGAAACAGACACACCCACACACAAACACATCACAGAGCAGACAGGCGGCTCCGAATCGAGTTAATGCGTGAACGGAAACACAAGAACGGAGACAGTAACACAGGCACACGGAGTGACGAAGGAAACCAGTCCCTGATCCAAGCTAATATGAGTACAGCCAAGATGAGTTGAATAGAAAAATTGAGGGGAATGGCAAACATTGCTGGAAAGATCGATTGATTTGGACTAGAGCCATCAAGGCGGAAAGAATGAACATGTTTTCGGTTAAAAATCATGATAACAGACACGAGGCAATGGTACAGAGTGGCTTCCACAAAGCGATGACCAATGGGCGTTTGAACAAATGGTTTTACCAAAACCTGTGATTAAGCCAATGAGCTGAGCTTATAAGTCGAGGAAGGGAAATGCCGACTAGAATTCTTCTATTTCAAAACAGTGAGTTCTGCGCTCCTAATTCGGAACAGTAGGTTCCATCCTGACTGGATGTCGTCGGCAGGAGAGCTTAGAATCTATCCTAGAGATATCTTCATCTACAATCGGTACACTACACCTGTGTTTGACACACGAAGGCAGTTCATTCGCGCTACTGAAGGATTTGTGTGTACATATCAAGCCCTATTTTAGTGCGAAGTGACCCGCTAAAACGCGTGATAGACGCTGCTATGATTTCTCTAGGAAACCAAGGCATTAGGAACGTTTTCTCGGTATTTGACAGGTATGCTCACCTAGACCAGAAAAAACTGTTGAAAACACAAGAGAACTGATTCATTTATGCTGAGATTACTTCTAAGATATTGAGTTAAACCACGAAATGGTTTGTGCACTTGCCTACGGCTTGAAAATGAACAATGATGTTGAAAAGACAGCGTTAACTAATAACTGCAATTCTACATAGATCAGATCAGTGTAGAATTAAGTCGAGGATAATTGTTCACGAGAAAACCAAGAAGGTATACGATGTACTCTGGGATGAATATGGCTCGCTAGGGCTGTATGCTTCTTGACATCTGTAAGAGTTTCATCTGGTCCCGTCGCATCTGACTACCTTGCAAGCACGCATACGGAAAGAACAAGCATGTTAATTTGCTTCCTGCTATTTCCTCCCAAAAAAATGTCGATAATTTCCGTAGTCCTTCAAATCTAGATGGACAATCCTACTTGAAAAATTGACTTCTCCCTTCGTGATATGCCAATTCGAGCCCATTTAACTTCCAAATGAACAAACAGGGGTAATAAGAAGTGCTCTTTCAGCATCCAACTGCTTTCTGCAATGAAAAAAAGTTTGGTGGACATTGGACGACAAGCTATTCAGCGCTCTTAGTGGTAAATGGACACCTTATGCTCCTTTGGAAAAGAAAATGTACAGTAAGGGAGCTTGGTAACCTCTCACCAAAAACTCAGACTCCATTCCGTACTAAACTCGCATCATGATTCGAATGGGACTCGGTAAGAAACGTCGCCTTGATGGTGTAGCGTGTTTAACCTGCAAATTCGCAAACTGGGCTGTCTAAATCGCCTGTCCATTCCCATACTCACAGCCGTACCCTCTCTCCAGTCATTCGCACCTGATCAATTGCCCTTAAGTCAGCCTTAACCAAACTAAAGCATCGGTGATCACGTGTGTTTCGCCGACCCGAAACATGTGGGTGGGCTGTGCGAGAATGCGCCCCAGTACACACCAAATGTAGGACCAGTAGTTCGGAAGGCTAGGACGGGAAGGTTAATAGGGCACCTAGAGGAAAAGCCCCTACCTTAGCAGCCGAACCGACGAAAATGATCGCCCTAGAGCGAGAAGTCTAAAGAGCTGGTTGTTACTAGGCTGTTATTGATTAGTTGAAATGGATGGCAATAAACCATTTGCCTCTTCAGTGTCGAAAACGGTTTGATTTTCAACCTGGGGACGCCAACATAAAAGACCACAGCAGGAATTTTGACGGGACCAACCGAACATTGTCAGTGTCAAAGATTTTCGTTTATTGATGGTTATTTCCATCTGCGAATCACGGCATTAAATTGGTGCACGTGATATGACAAGAAAGCAGTATATATATGCAAAAAGTCACAACTGACCCGGTAAGAACGAGTTCAGGATAGGGATTGTAGCTGACTCCGCATTCGCCACCGATAATAGGCCACTCACGAGTGGAGAATGTGTCAGAATCGGCTGCCCGCTTTGACCGAGTAGAAGAACGGGTACCGAGGGGATAGAATGCGGGAACCAAGTCACCCGGACAGTCCACCAAATATAGACAGGATGTGACAGGCGAAGAGTGAATATCCATGGGATAGGGATTCTCGAACGTGGCGTAGCTGAACAATCAGAGATGTAAAGTCGAATTACGACGGGACAAATTCCAGACTAATGCACACATTCAATCGGCGGTCCAACACTTCAAGCTTTCGCTTTTAGGAGGCCGAGCTTTCCTCAACACAACGAGAACGAAGTGTATCGAGTTGAGCCCAACTGTTTAAAGTAAGTCGAAGGTATATTGCTCCAAACTTAACGAAGCTTAATCTGGATTCTAACAGCACCCCATCCAAGAGAGACTGGCACAGTTCGACACATCAAGCCCTTGGGTTGGGTTCATTCAGGCGACACCGATGAAATTGCGGATATTACCCATAGGACGAGAACTGGTAATCAGACGCTACAAAAAAAAGATTTACTCAAGAGCAGAAAAGACGGGGATTAGGGTAAATTTCTCTCACAAAATCCCTAGTTCCCAAGGGGAAGATGTCCCCACCTTCAGAAACAACATTTGTGCATTGTGTTGAAGTAAAATGGCATCAGCGGGGTCGATGCGTCGTCTTTTACGAACCTCATCCGACAGGTACGTTTTAGCTAAGCGATCGGGTTGTGAGTCGACAACAAGTTAGCCATTGGGATCGGTTACATAAAGTGTTTTGTTGGTCGATCGAAAAAATTGACTGAATCAAGTGATACTTACCAATTCGGAAAGGCCCAAGGTGTAGCAGGTTGAGTGTGCTTAGGCTTCTCAAGATCAACACTTAAATAAATAAAAAACTCAACCTTCTGCAGGCCAGTCTGTATCAAAACGAAACCGTTCGCTTTGAGAACAGAACTACGAAGAGAAACAGGTTTTCGTGGCTAGGGATATTTGGCAAGCAGCTTATTTGCGTCTGCATCGTTCCACAATCAACTACACCCATATCTTAGCACCTCAATCTCAAAAAAGTACACAGTGATTTGAGTAGCTTACTATTTTTCACGAATGACTTAGTTGCAGGACCATGTGTGCCGTAAGCTGAGACAGCCTCCTCACCTGACAGATCTCACTGTTTCAACTGCCAAATCATAGCTGGCGATGTCTTTACGCATCAACAGGTAAAAAAAAATGCTGCTTTTGAGTACGCTGGTTAGGCACTGATGTACTAGGATCATTTGTCGGGCGAATTTTGGAAAAAAAGCAACAGCAATCATTGGCTATTACGACCTGGTGCACTCTGGGAGTTAGAAGAGCCTTCTAAAGTTACCTTTTTGGGATGATACGAATAATTTTAGGAAGCATAGCGTCCTGCATTTTCGTCTGAAGTGGTTTCACATATCACACTCTATTGGATGCAGCAAGGTCGAATTGGGTATATAAAAAGTACCCGTAATTGCGTCAGCCAAAATGAACACCGACGACACATGACGCGCCCATTTGCTTCCGTCAACCCGTATGCTCATATTCATTGAGATGTTTGCTAGCCACAGGCGCGCACATACTGGACGCATATACTGTACCATAGATCAAAGAAATAATATTCCCCTGCAACAGATATGCTATAAGCTCTCTCTCCCCGACCGAATGCATGCAATGTGTGATGCATAGAAGCGGCAATTCGGGTGCCGGATGTCAGTTAGCTAGCAAAAGAAGGTATGGCGGTGAAAAACTATTTATGAGAGTTTAGGCGTCGGCAGGCGAGGTTGTCATCACAATGAATAGGGTAACATGAATAAACCGTATTTTTCCCATTGATAATATACCATCCGTTATTCCTATTCAGCTTTGCATTCAGAAGATATTACAGGAGGAAACAGGCGCCTTTCAGAATGGCTTAATAAACTGAAAGGCCAAAAAGTGTCGTATTTTAGAGTAAATTCTATGTTCAAAAGACCGAATCCTCCTTAAAGATAGTCATCACATGTGAGAACGATTTTGGTGGGTTTCAAAGGTTAGTTCCCAAAAGGACTGAAGCGCTGTTTGCTTGGCTATAAGCTATCTTCTCGTGCACGTCAAAAGGAGACTTCTCCATATAAGCTAAGTCTCCCTTCTCCGTCCCTCCCTCACTTCCTGCAACTACATGCTGACAGCGGTTACGCAAGACACAGGTTACCCGACCCTCTGGAAAAAGATCACCAACCCACATGTTTTTTCAATTATGTAATTTACTATACCGGATGAATAAAGTTTTCTTCATTTGCAGACTAAATGAGGGAGCACGCCAAAATTAAATTTTTTCCTCGTGATCCGCGTGAAACGGGGCTAAAAGAGTTGAGATGCAAAAGGGCAAAATGTTTCGACGGAAAATAACAAGCGCCAAAATGTGGAATCCGCTAGTTCATGACAAAACGGGCCACATACTCTACCGGGGAAAGCACTAATATCAGTTGGCACTGTGATCAAGAGTATTGCAGGCGTTCACGTTGGTACAGAGATAGCACGGTTCTTGGCGACACCTAAAGTAGCACATGCACTGCAATGCCAACCCGTATAAATCTTGAAAACCACGCTAAATCATCTAGTTGTGGTACACATGGACCCTGATGGGATGCGAAAGATTCTGTAGGTGTCGAAAAATTAATCCCGTGACTCACTTCGGTGATAGCAGATCCACGACTACAAAGTCATTCTGAAGCAACACAGCCACTGCATATGGATCCATGAGTTCTGAAAAGAAATATATAATGGCCAAGTCACGTTCGGTGCCATCAGGTTTAAAATCAGGGGAAAACGTCGTACCTGAGCTATCGGTTAAATGCAAGACGCGATGTAGTCTTGTTGACGGTACATACTACTCGTGAAGCCACTGAGAATTCGTCAGTGCACTTTCGGTTTCCGTTAGTCACGCACACTCCCCGGTTTTCCGTCAACCTGATATTCTAACTGAAGCACAATTGCACGAAAATCGCGAAGTACACTGAATCGCACACCGATTTGTTTTAAATGAATTTGTTTAAACGGATTTCAAATGAAGAACCCATAAACGANCAGCAGGACTCAGCTGAATCTTCCGTTAAAAGGAAACCGGTGTGCAATCGGTGTGTAATTCGCTCATTCCTGTTGGTCAGGTAGGCGGTTAGAGGAGGTCCCTCAATAACGGTCAGTCAGAAATAACAGCCTAGCCAAACAGTTGCTGATGTCTAGTTTCTTTCATTGACCCACTCACAAAATTAAGTGAAAACAAATTCCATTGGAGAGGAACGAAACAACAAAACGAAATGAATCTCAAAATGGTATATTGCATTGTTCGTAATGAGGGTGTGGGACAGATGGCGGCTATTACTTCTACGACCACGAGGACAAAAGAGAACGTGCGAACGATCAAGCACGTTAGATAGAAGATATCCAACAAGGTGACATGAATGGACGAGATGACATAATTAACAAATGTGCTAATAAAGGGAGGAACCTAGTGCATAGACAAATGATAAAATTTAAGAGCAAAAATAGTTGCACCCAGGCTACTCCACCTAATGAGTACGTTGGTCATCAAATTTCACCCATTCGCATAGCAGTCAATCCCTCAAGTAGACAGGCGCACGGCTGGAAAAAACGATACAACCGGAGCCAGAAAAAACCACGACCCAATAAGAAGAAACCTAAAGACCCTATTAGCACCTACCTCTGGCACTTGCTTTCAAAGGCACGTAAGTGATCAATATCTTACCGATAACTATTATTACTCGCTACGACAAGTGTTAAAAGTGTTAATTCATCATAACCATCGACAGCATGATGGCTACTCGCCACAAAGCCAGTCTCATCAAGTGAGCGCAAGAGTTAGTATGGGAAACTTTCCACTTCAGTGAAGCTACCCGAAAGCGACAACTCACCGAAATGATCATTTTTTTACCGAGTCTAGTCACCGTTCCCTCGGAATAGTAGTCTATCGCGGTACTTGTTCCGCGTCCACAGTATTCACGGTTTGATATACGCAACATTCCTATTTTACGTAGGTTTCCACAGTATTTGTATCGCCTGCACAGAACTCTCCTAGTCGGTTTACCTGTTGAAAAAGGCCTTCCACTAAAGATGCACGCAACGATGTGAAGTGAGGTGGATATCCACTAAGCCGGGGTAGCGAAACCCAACAGGGAATAGATTGAGATTGCTGTTATTCCATATGAACCAAAAACATGGGAGACCATTCGAAGGATTGTGAACACCAATAACATAAGAGTAGCTTTCCAGAAGGGAAGCACTCTGCACTGGTGCAATTGAAGGATCACCTCCCGGTGAACAGAACCAGGAAACGTCTATCAATTTAACTATAACGACTATACTAAGGCCTGTTTAGGGCGTACGGACAGAGAACTTGACACCAGAATCGGATAGCACAGAAGGAAAATAAACAGGCTCTGAGAAACAGGGATGAATATAAAGCGTTACTTAAAGACTCGACAATGGCAGAATATGTACTGTCGTGGACTACGATCCAGCTGTAACACCCTTCCGGTACCTAGGTGCAATGTCATCCGAAAAAAGCCGCCAAGTTGATTAAGCCTAGACGGGAGAAGTAGAGATGAGGAGGTCGGGTTCGAACCACGAACCTTCCGGTCAGTAGATTCGCGCTCTAACCACTGAGACATCTCATCTCAGGAAGACGTTACAATCTAAGTTGCACTTAACAAAACCCGCCTTCCCTGCACGGAACTAAATTGTTGAAATCTTCACAAGCCTACAAAGACCAATGAAGTCTACCAGTGATACCCACGGTGATTCATCAACTGAAGCACCTTGAAGTAGAATGTTAAAGAACCAAAGCCGACCGGAATTAATTTGAAACTCCCACAATGCAGCAAATCAAGATTTAGGCATCCACATTAGTTGACAAGAACTGTTAATTGACATTTAACACTGATGTAGTGCGCTAATCTGAAGACGTCTTACTGATTGACTCCCCGTCTGCTGGCCAAGTTAGTGAGCCGCTCACTGGGCCTGACGAAGCTTTTGCGTCAAAATCGAAACGCTGCCCAGTTAAAATCTACCGATTGTTTACCAAGTCCTTCTGGAATGATGACTTCTCAATCGGTCCCAAACTCTTTCCAATTGACCAATAACACCAGCAATTGCTTACTACGAGGTTTTGTCACCAGAAACGTGAACTTTAGACACACCTCCACCAGAGGATACGCAAATTCTTGCATCACCTCCAGAAGTGTTTGATGAAGAGCGGAAAATGCTTCAGTTTACTAAAAAGCAACACAATCATGTACTCTGCGCGGCTGAACGATCACCATTGTCTCCATTCAAGTCATGTAGCCTTAGCGATAGGTATCGACTCTGTTGTGCTACACTAAGCATGAATACAAATGTGATATTTTCGGAATTTCTATACTAAATTCGCCGTCTCATGTGTCTATACAACATTCTTTGTATTTGATCGTGTCTAGATTGCATTTATTGTCGCAACTTGAAGGTTAATCTACGAAAAAGCCTGTCCTTTTCGGAATGGGTATTTTAGAACGTGACCCCTAGGAAAGATTTGGTACTTGTGTAGAAACCGCTAGAGCTAATTTGTACCCAAATGAAAAGCTAGACGGCTGCTCTTCTAAGCCTGAAGACTCAGCTTTAGGGTTACATCAAACAGATTTTTGTTTCATGAAAAGCCGCCTAGGTGCGCCTTCCCTCTTCCGTTTTCCGCCGTTATGATCCCTTGTTTACCAAACCTCTCTGAAAAGATCACCAGCCACTTGATCAATAATCAATAAAGATACGTCTCTTAGCTACCGGTTAGAATATAGCCTCTTCAGTGCTAGCTCTAACGCTCGGTATTCAAGACACTAATCCGCTGTCTGATGTTCCCTTGTCGCCGCAGGCATGAAACCAAATAGATCAGATCGTCGTTAGTTATAGATGGCGGGTGTGTCTAAGACTGTCGCTCTTACCACTATTGACTCCAATCATGCATCCTTAATGGGAAAGGTGCTGTTACGCTTCGGTTGACGTGTAGAGGTGACTGCTGAACATAGAAGAACTGATCCGTTTGTGGTTCAAACCTACGAATCTAGTCTGGTCACGCCCCAATAGTTTAAACTACGCTGCACATAGTTAAAATCCGCAATCCTAGCCAGTTGCGACAACCAAGTTGAGCCTCGAACTAAAAAGTTGTGGAGGCCTAAACGTTCATTGGAAGTGTTTCCGCTGCAAAAGGAAAGGTTTAATGCTAGGCAATAGGTTTTGAGGGGTAAGCTTTTAGAGGAAATATTCACAAGACAAATGGCACGTTTGTCAAGGATTTTCGTACAAAATTAGGACACATGCGTGATTCGTTCCAGTGTCTTCGCTACTGCACCACATAGTGAACCCTCCATGCCATTCGGTTTCCAACGGAATAGGCAATCAACTTAGGGATTATCTTCACTAATACTCAATTCAAGGAGCCCCGTGGTTCTGCCAACTTTTCTGAGTACACTGTTTCGATCCCGTTTATTGCTGCTCAGTTTCACCACATACCAGTTAGTTTAAGTCACATTTGACTGTATACGTGAATTCTACTTCCCGCACCTGCTTAACCTCACTGTTCAGATTCCGTGAAGACGAAACAACATATCTTAAGCGACGGTGAAGTACAATCGCGAATCGACTGCGCATTTGCAAAAAAGTTGGAGCACAACCTAATTATGACACACTGTGATTTACGGATAAGCGTTAGTTGCAGATAATTCCAAGTGACCGGTTGCATTGCTCACTGCGAAGACGTCATTATTGGAATAACACAACGCAGAAAGCATCCGATTGTTGGGAGAGCTGTGCGTTGCTACATACAAGTCACCTCATTACCATAGGGCTTTTGTCAGTGTTGACTGCTCATTTTTTTCATGACAGTTCCCTTATTCCAATCAAGTCATCTTGGAGACCATCTTTGGTCGGTGCCTTGGAAACTAGTTGAATAGCACATTCCCTCCGATGAGAGATTTCTCTCGGTAACTCACCTGAGTTGGTTTATCCACTAAGTAACAACTAGAGCTAAGAGTGATCATGCCTCACAGTGAAAGGATTATTGAAAAACGATGTAATTTTAGTGAAAAACACCCCTTCACTTCAAGCGAAATACGTTTGTAGTTTCAGGATAACGTATTGGACTTTATTAAAATTACGACCGCTACATATAGGATCGTCTCAAATCAACTTGGAATAGCCACGGAAAACGACAGACAAACACGTGAAGTCATTGGAATCTGTCGTGGGAAAAAAAGGAGCTACGGACGAAATTTCCCAAAATATTCGGAAACATCTTCGTCATTAAACTGGGTTCGAACCGAACTTTTGTGTTACCGGAAAAGGAAGCAAAATGGTCGGAATCAAAGTTGAAAATCTCCTAATACTGACAATATGGCATATGGCAGCTCGAGTACGTCGACTGGTTGTTGACCACTTAGTCGTTTATCTGTTTGCCGAGATTGACGAATGGCTTACAAAAGTTCATCACAATTCGAAGAGATAAACAATGCGTGGTATGGTGTGTAGCGCATCCAAGCGCGCACTGATGATGTCATCTCGAGTCATGATGACGAAATGTTTCCAAGCTCACTGGCTATTTAACCCCTACTAGAATGACACACTACGTTGTCGATGAATTCAACGCTGGCTTCCTCCAACATAACCTCTGGAGAGAGTTGATACGGGTGAATGGAAGGTAAAGATCAATCGCCCGTCAAAAGAATAAATAAGATGCGAGAAATTTATACTGGAACATGAGAAGGCACTAGGATCGGACGGTCTGTATCGAGCCTTATTCGAAGAAGGCGGAGAATGCTTGGTGACCCATGTGACAAAACTAATTGATGCGATACGGAGTAAAGAGAAACCGTCTTCAGAATGGTGCATGTCGACAGTTACCCCAAACCTTCAGAAAGAGGACGCGGGCGTTGTGTGAGAATCACCGTGGCATCAAAGGTGGCCTGGCTTAATCATTCGAAGACTGACTAAACACGGGGATAGGCAGATCCGTGAAAATGAAGATGTGTCCCGTCCTGCAATAAGATGCATCGATTACATCATCATCATTCGATAGGTGCTGTAAGAGCGTCACTACTCCCAGCAACCAAAAATGGTAGTCTTCTTCGACCAGAAAGCTGCCTTAGACTCTGTGAACCATCAGACACTATGTCAGTGTTTATAAAGCAAAGGCGTCCTCCATAAATCCTCGAACCTCTTTTAGGTGCTGTTCGCCGACTCCCGCAGAGGTGTGAAGGTTTACGGAAAGCTCTCGTCTGAGTTTACTACATCAAATAGTGTCAGGCAAGGCTGTCCTCTTTCATCTTTCCTCTTCAACGTCGTCATTGATATGACCATGGAAGATTCACTACTGGCCACTAATGCCTGTGGGGTCAAAACGCTCACGGGGCATCGCTCACAGATACCGAGGGCGCAGACGACATAGCTCTTCCTGGATCTGACACCGTCGTAATGCAAACAATATCAAATAACCTAACTCATTGCGCCTCAAGGTTCTGCATGCGCACCACAACTGCAGTGTAGAGTGCGGCTGCAAGACTGGGTAGGCCCGAACCCCAGCCCCAAGCTTGCAGATGAGATCAATTTGTCTGCCTGGGCAGCTATCAGTCCCGGTGGTCTAGTTGAGGATGATAATACCATTCGGATTGGAAAGGCCAGAGAAGCCCTTACGAACCTGCATTATTTGTGGCGTAGGTATGACACCAGATCTTTCGCCAATGGTCGAGTCTGGAATGGTGAGGTGAGCTCCCTATCGCTATATGAGTCAGAGACCTGGTCACTGCACGCTGAGGACGTGAAAATACTTTTATTGCATGACCGTCAGTGTCCTCGGAGCATTGTCCGGGTCTGGTGGGAAGATCGGATCAGTAATGCTGAAGTGCGTGGAATGATTTTCGGAAGGAATAATGCGCCCACGATAGATGAACTGATCAGACTCCAAAGGTTTTGATGGGCTGGTCAGGTGCTCCGTATGCCAGTCGACCGACCTCTTCAAAAAGCGCTTGTCACACAACCTTGTGCATATCCGCTAGCGCTCGAAGACTACCTTCTTCGCAAACAACAAAAGGAGCTGCGAAGACTCATATTTCAGTTGGACCGATGTTCATGATACGGTGGTGCTTAGGGAACGGACAAGCCACTAACCTTATGGGAAGAATTCTGTCAGAGTTAAAAAAAATTGTCACAGTGAAACTGACATTTTGATCCAGATGACACTGAAGGGGAGACGACCCAGGCTAATTTGCTGGAAGGAGTACACAGGGGTACAGAGGTTGGAAACCACCGGTTTTAGAATTAGACGTTCTAAACACATGAAAACGTTTAAATGAGGGACGATCGGAATTGTGAAGGAAGAAGTCAATCGAAAAGTTCTGAAGAAAAATCTTAAACGTACTGAGCGAGTTCTATACCATATTTGTCACGGGACAGCTAAGATTTCTTTTACGTATTGAGACACTTTAAACGCCTAGTTATGAATCTAATACTGTAGTAACTGCCGTTTAAGGAGGTCAATAACTGAATGAGTCTAGAAGGTAACAAAAGAAAAACAGCAAACGCAGCTCCAAAGAACTATTCCTTCCAGGCACGTCAGGTAGGTGCACAAATGAGAGAGCAGGAAAACCGCCGTTGCGGTGTACTGTCTTGTCAGATGCTTCGGTGCTTGCGCACAGAAAGTGCGAACAGAAGAATTATGATAGGTGACCGAAAAAAGAGCGGAATAAGGGAGACGATGGCGATGGGAAACGGAGGAATTAACAACCTAGATAACCCATAAACGACTGTAGCTTGCAACAACAGCCGATATGTAAAGTCTGTCCGAAAAAGCCGGAAAAAGAGAAATTCCAACTTCGATCCGGATGTTCTGTGACATAGATCAGAGTTAAAAACCAAAAGAGTAACACAAAGATTCAAGAAATACCATCATTCCATTTAGTCTCGTACCAAACGTAAATCAGACGGGGTTAGTGGGAGAATGCGGAAAAAGAGGAGGGTGGCAAGATAAGATTGGTGAACATCTATCCTCTTTTTGAAAAATTTTACACGAATACGGAAAACTTACCACCAATGAACGGGGAGGCGCACAGTGAAACAAACTGCACCACTCTGTAGTCCATCTGCAAGACGACAAGTCGTTTGCCGCGCTTCACTGTCAGGCAAGGATACGGGGATACGGAGCCACTATGAGCTGACGTAACTGCAGACTGCCCCGATGCATCGGGACTGACGGAACTGCCGGGGTTTGGAGGAGCCGAATCTGAGTCGGACGGTGTTTTCGCGGGAGTGGTAACTGGATTGTCCGGAGTGGAAGCACGACCACCACCCACAAATATAATGAAAGGTTCTCTGAAAGTGAAAGGAACGAAATGTCCACATAATCTTGTAAAATGGAGAGGGAACGGTTTGTACCAGCAATAGGCATACTAAATTCCTACCGAGCCTCACTTACCTGAGCAGGCTACAAGTGTTTCACATAGACCACGAATAGATGTGAAAGAGGGTGAACGAAAATAATGAGAAGTCACAAATGTCATGTTCCCTTGGTTTCCGTTTCGAGAAGGTTTCAGCACAAGATCCGCTTTTTATACTTATTGAGTCGAAACAAGTTAGTAAGTATTCTTTCAGACAGCAGGTAAGCTATGAAATCAGAACGTGTAGTTGGCCAAACTTGATCAAAAGATCGGCCTCGGTAATGCGGAAAAGTGATAACTCTAAGAAGCTGTTATCTTTAGGATATTATACAAACAATGCAGTTGCGCGAGAATCCTCTTTTAGATCGTCATTACGGAAAAATTGAAATGTAGCGAAGGCATCTTGTTCGTGGTCAATAATGACTACCAATCAGATAGTTCGATAGACGTAGCTGCAAGAGGTTGCTTGTATGGAAGACTGTTAGTGTATGCAGTGAGATAAAGCCACTCACTGATCAGAAAATTTGAAAGGTAAAGATAGTCAGCAGCCAATAACCGAACGAGTATAGTGCATGTGCTCGGTGAAACAACTAAACCAAGGTGCGAGGTTGGACGCTGAATGCACCAATGCCACTTATCCAAAGTCACATAGACAGACCTAAAGTGTCAGTGTCTAACAGGAAGACAAGGTTCTTGTTCAAAACACAGTCCAGCAAGCTGACACAGAAATGTGCCTACAGTCAGAAAATTACCGTTTCTCCAAATGATTCAAGTTGAAACGCACTACGCCCGGAACTACATACACTTGAATCTGAACGATACTGAGATAACCATGGTCCCTGCGCAAATGACACGCGAAATCGCCAAGTGTGCCACAACTTTTCGCCGCAAAGTTCATGCTCTTCTCAACGTCGTGAAGCAGTGTAAACTACATCCGAATCGGATCTGCTGGTCAATACTGATCACCCCAACGGACACCTGCGCATCGTAAGAAGCCACTAGCGGCGCCGATTGCGCTGCTGTGCCCAAATCCTTCGGAGACCGATTCAAATCCAACGGAATAAAATCTGCGGACGATTGTGCAGAGCCTTGTCGCCTGTCTAAACACGATGGCAGAACGTTGGGCATCGACATTAGTTAAAGGTATCAGCCGTAATTCTTTTAAATCTCAGCCAGCTGCCCAGCGTAACACCCTGCAAATATTCCCGAAGTCGTCCAATAACACACCGTCGACGTGGTGGTATTCGACTGACCCCGTGGTTAATGATGCTGCCATAGTTGGAATAATAATGCTGGATGAGTAACCATTAGAAGATAGAACAGTTGCTTATTTACAGGTGTAGGTGTAGTCATGTGCAATTCATAGTACATCAACTAATGCATTTGGGGCTCAGGTGTTAGTAGCATCAAGGCGCACCGGAATCCCAGATGATACCTAGGTCTGACAAAGTAGCAACCACACCTGATAAAGAAACACAGGACGAATGGTATCCTGGCAAAGAGAACTTCACTTGCTCAGCTAGCATCAAACAAGGTTGGATGGCAAGTGAACCTATTATGGATCATCGTTAACCATGGAATCTTACTGTCCTTTAGGTTCCACTGGGATGTGCAAACGTCAAAGGAGTGTAGTCTAACGAATCCCGAGTGTTTCTAAAAAAACACTTTGAGACGCGAAAATTTCTCCATCTTCATGAAGGACTTCATTCGTCCAGTTGTAAGAAATACAATTCCGGCGCCTAGCTGCTATGCTACCTGAAGGAAGAACGAGGGCTGGGATACCGCCAGATTGCCCAAGCCTAGACAGAGGAAGCCAAGACGCACAGGTCGGGTTCGAACCACGGACCTTCCGGTCAGTAAATTCGCGCTCTAACCCCTGAACAACTTCGCGTTTTTGACAGAAAAGAGGATCCCTGTTGTATCACCAGTCATCAAAAAGGTAAAACTGGCGCACAAGAAACGAAAAGAGCTCCAGTCTGACTGATATACAAGCCATGCTACTCTTAAACCGTTTTTCAACTGATGGAATTAACGGCCCAGTCAAGATGGTTTCCGTTATGTTGGGAGTTCAGGCTGCGTACAGTCCTCGACCACCCGCAAACACTAACCGCTCACTCAAGCTTGCTATTCAGGTTTTCGTGCAGCATCTGACTCCTTAAACAGGAATCATTGTATAGAATGATGCAAATTGATGACGTGCCACAAAAACAGGATGACCACATAGTCGTACGATTCCCCAAACCCAAGGTGTGCGGGGGAACCACCCACAAGAGCCAAAAGAAGGCAGGTTTACATGTTAGCCAATCTCTTCAAGTACGTAACGACCTACTCAACCCTGCACTGACGATGTCACCTCGATTGGTGATGAAACGTTTGCAATCCAACTGACAAGCTCGGCGAACCAACCAACAACCAAACAGCGCACTCGAGCTACCTATATTCCCCAAACATTGCTAATGTAACGAATCAGGCGAAAAAGCGGCGATCTCTGACCAGAGTGGTACTTATGCGGGTCCATATTTTCGGTTTATAAACCCTAAAAATGTTCACAATATCTTCATCACTCAATAAGCCAGTCAACACGTGACCAGATGATGTAGTTTCCTTGACTGAGAGATTAGTGGCGCTATATCCTACCTGTGAGAGCTAATTACAGTGCTGATTAGCCGCTCGTGACCGAAAGATTGAGTTTTCCAATCCAACTACCAGCTGCAATGTCGCAGATTCAAAACTTCCCAAATTTGCATGCACGGCTGATGATTCCAAATCAGGACGAAATAGCTATATAATGCCTCTCATTTTTCAGCAGACTGTCTTTAATTACGAAACAAAATCTCCCTGGGAAATTCCCAAATCTCTTCACACGGAAATTTGAGAATTTTGGAGAGAGATGTTGTTTTGTAATTAAAGACAGGCTGATGAAAAATTGAAAGGCACCAATAAATGTTGTCTTAATTAGGGTGGATCTAATTAGTCCAGCCAGCTCTTGAAAACATCGATATTTATGCCAGCTCCATTAAACTATAAATCAAAATTAACGAAATCCACAGATCCATGCGCTAAATTTTTCATCGACGCTGAAAGCCTCTAATTCATGCCCGTTTTTTATATCTGGACCCCACTAAATTCTCTAACGGCCGGGCAAAACAAAAAAAACGGCTGTGCTAGAACAGTGTTCCTGTGAATTCAGAAAACACTGCGGGCTAGAGGCTAGATAAGTCTAGGTACAAAACTTTCGTATCCTCGACTCAATGTCAACTCGGTCGTTTGGAATTTTAGACGCACTGGTACCTTAGACGCGCTTTTTGAGACAAAATCAGAAGGAATAAGGTCAAACAGGCGAACCGGCTTGCGACGTCTCGATACTCAACGGCTTTCGAGCGGTGTCCAGCAACACCGACACAGTTATTCGGCCACATCCAAAGAGGCTAAGAAACTGATCAAAGAGCAGCATTATCACCTTGCTTTGGGCGGCGATGCTGTTAGATAAAGATGTCGACCAGGGTGGATTTGGATCCGCCCAAGGGATTCGTCACTGGAATCAGAGATGTATCAAAACGTTTATACACGTTGTCTCGCACCATCGTTCGTGGGAGGATTCATTTTCCTAGAAAAATTCAGAATGAGCGAAATACAGCAAGATAATCCTAATAGCGCACTGCCTCTCAACTCCATCTTTCGTAGTCAGACTGAACTCGCGTAGTTGTGCACGATCTAATAACAATACTTCATCATGCACCAGTAAGCAAAAATAATGCACCACAAACCTACATATTCAGTTGAGTCTCTCATGAAAACCAAATTGATTTGCAAATGAGTGTAATTCTGGAAAACAGTCCAATTTGGGTTCAAGTAGAACATAAGGTTGGCGGAAACTCGGGGACTGCGCCTACCTGATGAGCCCCAAGAAGGGCGAAACCGGTCGTGGGCTGTCGAGGAGTTTTCAGCAACCTTGCGAGTAGTTTCCTGTATGAAAATATATGTAACCATGTTTTCTCTCAACTTCGAATTCTCACTGACCAGATGCTTGTTTGGATGCGTAGAACACGATGCAATTGACCTCTGGGCTGTTTTGCGGTCCGTGAAATGAGGGTCGCAGGACAAGAAGGGCAGTAACCAAGCAAGAGCATCTAGCTCGCGGAGTGGGTGAACAAGGTTGTCGTCCAGGCGTCAAACATACGTTTTTCAAGCTTGCCAATCGTTCAAATCGTGGCAAGCGATATGAAGGGCGTCGCTCGGGGTTGCCTTTGGTTCTAAACAAAGTAACACCGGTATCCAAGAGCAACTTTTCCGACACTAGGAACTACTGTTCACGTTAACTTAATAGGTGAACTGGAGCAGGTTAGAATGATGGAGGATCGTTACACTCAGTGGAAATCATTAATCCTGACGGATTCAATACACCGGCTCAAATCATGGATCAAATAGCCATGCCAGTGATCGGTTTTCCGAACCTCGCTTAATGGCTTACGGGTTTTATTTTACTGTATAGGATTGCACCGGAATCTCCAACAAAAAGCCAAGTAGTGTTGGAAGTTCCGATGAAGTCCCATCGGAATTGGGTTTAGCCACACCTGCCCACGGCACACGTGGAGCGTACAAAACAGTGGCAATGGAGCAATCGAATCCTCAGTTCCTCAAGCCGTCGGTAATACTTAGGAAAAATTTATATTTTCGTTGAGCGATTTTACTCTCCGATAAATTCCATAGGTTGTTCACAGGAGTCCGTGTTAACTTTTCACATCATGCAACATTTTAGACGTAATACGCTACTCATCAGGTTGCTGAAAATTCTTCGACAGCCCACGGTCGGTTTCAACCTTTCTGGGGCTTATCAGGTAGGCGCAGTCCCTGAGTTTCCGTCAACCTGATGTTCTACTTGACACCAAATTGCACGAACTCAGTAAAATACACTCATTTGCAAACAAATTTGGTTTTACGAGAAACTCGTCTGGAATCCAGCCGAATCTCCCGTTTATGATGTGTCTAAACAACTGAGAATCGCACCAAATGAAACATGAGGTAGCCTGGTGCAGCACATTCAGTCGCTTGGAAACATCATAAACAAGAAATTCAGCTGGATGCCAGGCGAGTCACTTGCAAAACAAACTTCGTTTGCAAACAGGTGTATGCAACATTTTAGTCTTACTTCCCACTCCCTCATGACTGTCATTCCTTAGAGGGCACCTTATCGACGATGCATGACACCGTATCCAAAAACGATGTCCCAAATAGGCCAATCTTTGGCTTCGTTCAACCCCGAAGTCCGGTTATGTTCACCTACATCTGGTGATGCAAAAATCGAAATTACTACTAACGTTTGGAAAAATCGGCGTAAGGCTGTGGTAGCTTCATATGTCAAATTCGAGTGATACACCAGAGATTCAAGAAATCCAACGGAGAAGTGAGTTACTGACTGCGCAGAATACCGGCTTACAAATACAGTTTTTGTGAACCAGTAAAGAAAGATAGAAAACGGTTTTAACCACATTGTTGAATCAGCACCACCTCCGGTCCACTGGAAAACAAAAGTTTAGTCCCAAACAAAGTCCCTGATTTGAAACCACCAAAAACAATTGCTCAAGCAATTGTCCAGCAATGGAGTAACTGACCGAAAAGTCCACATACTCCGTCTTCTTTAGTTGTCAAGGGGATCGCAACATCGTGATATCAGCCCTTCCCTTGGTAAAAGCACGAAAAAGCGCGCGTGTGCACACACAAACACCAACATCCATCAAAGGTCGGATCGCAAACATTGTGTGTAATGGGAGATGCAATTTCAAATGAGGAAAAATGGGACGGTTGGGAACAGGAGTGAGCAGCAGATATAGTGACACTAAAAATGCCGATTGACTGTGTGTGTGTGTGTGTATGTGTGTGTGGATTGTGTCGGAACGAATGACAGGAACTTTTGTATGAATGAATGGGGAAGGAAGTAAGGACAAAAAACAAACGCTTCCACAAGCAATGAAGACCAGAATCAAAAAAACTGCACAGATTTTTTATTCCTTTAAAAGTACAAAGACTATCGCAAGAGCGGAAAGGAAAAGCTTGTGCTGGGACTAATCAACAGGTGGTAAGCTCAGGCGAACCCAATGAAGCTCGAGAGAAGAATGACACTTCTATTCAGTAGCTCAATCATACGAAATGTGCGGTAAAAAAAAGACAAAACGCCATTTAATTCTGCCGTTCGAATGCACCAGATCTGAATGTACTGGGTGCTGCGTTGGCTAGACAATGTTAATTGCAGAAAAGTCAAGATACCTGTCCGTTCGGTGGAAAAAGAGTAACAGCCCTAGTATCACCCGGAGAACTGCTCGATATTTAGAAGTGGGTAGGTGCCTCAGGCAATGCAGCAGAGAAAATGTGGATGACTGCAAAACCCAGTGAGTGGCTGTCAACATTCAAAAGACCATGAAAGGAAAATATTCCTAAGAGCCGCGATCGTACTAGTGGGGCCTGAAATTGCACTCCACTCACGTCGACAACACTATCCCCTGACAACCGAGAATCGTCGCGAAAAGGTCCACCGTAAACCTAGTTACATCAATGTTCTCCGCAATCCTGCATCTGATGACTGAATCGATGACTTCCCGCAGCCAACAGAAATGCATCTCCAGGCTTCAGTTCGATTCCATAAACTTATGTCTGACAGCGTTTTCCCAGAAATATGCGCCTTACAAGTTCCACAAGATCCACAAGTTACAAGATCCACAATTATCTATGATTGAATGTTGAGTGTTAACAAGCCACTTGACAGCACAAAGTACTGTCAGGAGTCGATGTTTCCTCCACTGGGCAGGTAAAACAAGGGAAAGCAAAGCCAGTATGTGAACAAACGTCGAAGGTGCAATAATGTAATCCCCAGGACTTTCTCAATCGTTACAGCTAACTGTAAGGCAATTCACGTTGGCCAGCTACTTGATGAGAATTGATGTTCACCAACCAACTCATCACCAAAACTGCTCCAGCTGTGATAATGTAGATGAATTGAGAATGTTTCGGAAACCTGTGCGAATTCATAGCCTTCTTCCACTTGCATCCCATTCAATGAGACAGTTTATCCAAATGGTGGGGACTCCAGCTAAGACCCACTTAGACTCAGTAAAGGGAAATCATTCGTTCAGCTATATCACTCTTTCGGTGCTTACCTGCCATGCCACCTGAAGGAAGAACGAGGGCTGTGATACTGCCAGGTTGCCCAAGCCTAGACACGAGAAATCGAGAGGCAGAGGTCGGGTTCGAACCACGGACCTTCCGGTCAGTAAATTCGCGCTCTTACCACTGAGCCGTCTCGCACGGGAAACCATGAAAAACAGTGTGGAACATTAACGCAAATTCGTTTAAATTTGCGCGAATTTCTTATTCGCCCGTAGCATTTAGACACTTAGGTAGTCGTGACGAATGACATGGCCTTTAGCAGTTAGTAACAATTTACTAATGACAGAACACTAAAAGAATGGCAGGCAATTAGGATGAGACGACGTGCTCAGTTCGATGACCCGATAGACATGTGTGTATGTGTGCGCGTGAAAATTCAGTGATGGGTTGAACAGAACAGCAAACAAAACTATGCATGCACATACATACAGAGAGAGGACCACATCACCATCTTTCACTGTGTTAGGGCGACTGAGGTGACTTTTGATAAACCATCTGCGGCAAAAGTCTTTCGATTCACACGGCCAAGAAATTGAATAGACAGATCAGTGGTTCGGGTCTACACCCAAAGATGTCTCTTCGTTAATGGTTTGTATCTGAGCTTCTCATTTTAGAAATAGATGAAAAACAACCAGCGAAACAGCGTGCAAAATATAAATAACCACGGGATATAAAATTCACCACTTTTGCTTACCCATTTTTACAGGGCAACCAGTCCACACTTTGAATCGGTTCGTAAGTTTGGTAGTCATCGGGAATAGTGTCGCCGCCGGCTGGAGTAGGAGGAACGCAGGTAAAGCAGGGAATAAATCTTTCCTTATAAGAGTTGTGGGCATGCTTGAAAAAGTATGGCTTAAAAAATCAGCACGTTCGATGTGATCGCACTACAGATACAATGGAGTGTATCACTGGTTGCCACAGCCTATCAGCTTAGCACAGTCATAGAGCTCCAAGGTGACCTCACGTATACCAGTAAGGGGAACCCGAGAACGACGATACAAAATCCCTTGCCTGCTGCCGTAATTGGCAAAATCTCACGTGCCATATGTGGTCAAGCCAGAGATTGGAAGAACAAAACTGTACCCTACGGCTAGTAGAGTTCATTTTATACCCAGCCTTCCTCAATCGTTTGGCAGTTTAGACTGGTAATGGGTTGGGGCGGAGTGCAATCCAGAAGTACCAAGACGTTGGAATCATCAGTTATTTCAAAACATGGGTTCACCAAGGATAAGAGTGGTGGATAGATGAATACATCAAGTCAAGTGAAAAAATGACTAGCTGAGTAGAAGTTTGACAGTGGATGCTTAGCGCTCAAGCAGAAAACGTACACCAACAGCTTCCAGACCACAGACAATGTCCTTCCAATAAAACCGACAACTCTCCAAGGGAAGCTACAGCTGTGCAAATATTCATCCGCAAACTGACGACTGCTTTATACATGGACTCACAGTAAGACCGGTGAAGCAATATCTATCGAATTCTGCGACGTTCAACAAGTGACGATGAATAAATAAAATACGCATCGAAAATCGGCATTTCACTTTTTGTTTTCGAGTTTTGGGGATACGCACATGTCAACATCAGCGAACTATCAGGATTGACACACTTCCGAATGCAATGGTTAAATAAGTGTCATTCATAGCTGTATCCTTTTAAGCAGGATTCTGGGCCTTTGGTATATACAAGATGTGAGTGATTCAGGAGAAACACCGTAAATCGACAGATATGGATCCGGAGTACTATATCAACGGGATGCACATCTGCCGTATTCATCAGATACTTTTAAGGATGCGGAATTTTCTATACCTTCCCCATGTTTAGGCGTCCTGGCATTTTTAACAGGATGTACGGATGAATTTTTTAAGGAAAATCGATCGGCATTCTGATATGTCCGGAACGAAATCTGAACATGACTTTATGTCCGGTTCAGGTGTCGACAGACTGTCTCGGAAACTTTCAAGTTGACGTCGAATCACCTCTGAATTTCTAGATACACCTTAACATAAAGATGTCCGGACCAACACGAACGGTCATTCCTGAACGTCTGGAAGTATACTGAATTCCCAATGGTTCAGCAATAGTAAAATCTCAAACTGTTCTGAATGGAGAACTAGCCGAGCCACCGCTTGAGGAACCATACGACGAACTGTATCCGGAACTGAAAAACTGAGAAACCACACATGGATGTTTGCTCAGACCTTCCCATTTTAACGAGAAGTCCGATCGACTGATAATTCGCTTATGACTTGCTTGATTCAGACTTCTTTGACCGTACGTTTTCGACCATAGCGCGCGCCAGAGGTGTAGAGACAGGGCAGTCGACCGACGTTAGCGGATGAGTAGAGTCGACAGTATTGTGCACAGTGAAACTAATAAAAAGTGACTGTAACTTTGAGAAAGGTGAATCAACCTTGTCAGCTCACTGGTCGCATGAATCGGCCTATGGTGGTCTATGGTGGACTATCGACTAATGTTTGCTGGACGGCCCAGCAAGACAAAGGACCGGTAAAACGTAAATAGGAAAGTAGAATGAAAACGTCATAAACCAGTTAGGTTTTCGTTAACGTCCAAGAGGAGTACAGATATACAGTTCCATGGGTTTGAATGAGTGTTCACGTTGTCCCTATTCGGAGAGAACTATTGCAAGGTATCCCGGTAATCGCTTACGTAGGATAACTGATACACCCGGATAACCGCCACCTGACTAGCTGTCCCCAAATAAACTGACCGAACGGAATACCAATAACAAAAAAAAATTAGAAAGGCGTGAATGTGTTGAATTAATCTACAGTGCCCACTACTATCCAGAGCCATAAAATAAAGAACCGGCTTGCTGGACAGCTTCGCGGTGGATCGATATCGCGATCCAAAGAAACACGATTGGCGTTATCATTCAGTAGCTCAGTTAGAATTCGAGCTGGGTTCACGGTGCACAAAGGTTTGCATTACGATTACATCCAGGTTGCGACTGATGCTTACCGCTCACCTGGTTCATTTGGTCGAACATGGATCGGTGAGACGGATGACGGAAGACCTTAAACTTGGTAGGTCCTGAAAAAGTGGTTCTGGATGCTTTTCGACTAACGACACCTTCTGCTTTGTGATTATCTACTGTAAAAATCCGGTAGATACTAGGTCCTCTCTGAGACTAGTGAAAAAGTTAGGGAGAATTTTAACTAGCTACTAAATTTCTAACAAATCCCAATGCACAAACGAAGGTTGCCTGGTAAAACCTACTGTTTCTCTATATCAGAAAAAGGGTCTGCAGAATCAGCTGTAGGCATACACACTCAGTCCAGATCGGCCCTCGCTGTCAGCAACAAGTGGATAGAATCGCTTTTGGAGACTTGTTTTCTCTCGAGTACTTCCTCAAACTTAGAACGTATATTACCTCGCCCTCTTATAGGGTTGTGCAGTCACGAGCAGAGAACATGAAGGATGAAAAGAAGCACTAGCAAACTCATTCTGAGTCACGGTTGGAGGGAGTTCCATTTGACAATTAGTTTTCAAAAACAGAAAAGTACCACTTAAGCGTACTTTGAGCCATGTTTTCTATAGCATGATGGCCAAATTTGTATCACACGGTCTCCTGGAGAACTGACGAGTACGGAATACTGCATTTCAACAATAAAAGCCCATTATGCCCCAAATGAATGAGGTATATTAACGAGCTATGATCCGATTAATCCGTAAGCACTCGATTTTACAGGACGACCACCACCGGTTTGTGAGGTTTGCACCAGTAGCCTTCAAGCATAGTTTCGTCAATACATTTTTCCATAGGATATAAAGCATTTGCATTCCTGTTAAACTGGATAAATAAGAGTCTTTGAAATGAAGCCTACAAGGGAACACAACCTTCGAAAAACCAACTGGAAGTCGCTTGCCAATTCCCAAAAAAAGCTTTATCACTTAGAGACTACGATACACTTCCAAAAATTAGACGGAGACTAAGAGCTACTTTTCCCGTCTCAAAACTAGGAATAACCCCCAGTCCACCTAGCTCTGAGACTTTAGGCCAGCCAACCTGGCGCGACAGATCATTGAGATCCATATCACCTATGGGTTCGTCTGCAAATGCGGTGATACCTACAAACCACTGTCTGTTTCAAATAATGATTCGACACATGAAATATTTGACAGCAACCACCCAGATATCATTGAGCAACCCGGAACCCAGTATATTCGATCTCACGATACCTATTGTCTATAGGAGATCGCGTTGACCCCATTGAGTGCTTTGTTGCGGAATTCAACACACGGGGTTTGAATATCCTATGAGGGGGTAGTGATTAACCTGAGACAGCTAGTTTCGTGTGGGAAACGTTGCTAACTCAGAACAACCGCCTATCTCGACAGTGATCTCGGACGACCGCTCACTCGTTTAAAATTCATTCACGCGCTGTTGCCATTGGCTAAACCCATGGTGTGTTTTGCGTGAACGGCTATAGGAACGAGAAGAAATTTTGACGTCTTCTTGTGGTTCTGATCAATTAGATTACGGGGATTCAATGCTACAACTACATACTGTTTTCCGAACTCCATGACAGTAGCACGTCTGTCTATCTGAACCATCCTAATCGAGCCTCTGCTCGTTATGGAATCTACTTTTCTCCAGGCATGAGGCCAGTTGACGTGTTGTCTCATTCATCGTAACCTGTCATCGTTCCAGGTCAGGTTGCTTTCCTTCCTTGTTCTTCTTTCTTGTAGTATCTTGCGTGTAGACAGTAGTCCAGAAGCTGTAACACAGAACAGTGAGTACGAGACCTCCTCAAACATGCACGTATGTCATCCGGTTGATGCTCTACACAGCTGTCCTCCAATATCATTCCTAGTGATCTTGCTTCTGTGGAATAGGTTTTTGGAAAGCGCCCTCGGTTCCCGTGACGCATGGCCCCAGTTCCGTTTATCCATAGGCCAACATTTGCCCCCATTCACACTTGTCAGTGATAAATCTCTGGGCTTAATCGAAGGAATATCCTAACTACTGAGTGACAACCGAATGCTCGTATGCTGTTCGTGACGTGGACAACGTTTGTTACCATTTCATTGGGCACCAGTTGTGAAATTGTTTGGATTTTCAAGGTAGTCGCCATTTTCATGTATCGCACCCAAAACGAGTCGCACTCATGTGAAACCAGATGTCCGAAAGTTCAACTCATCTGTATTTTGAACCTGGGGTGTTACGATCTAAGAAAACAGGAATGACGAAATAGTGCTAACAACATATCGAATAGTATGCCGTCCTGACCGATCAGCTAGAAACTATACGGGATGCAAGTGTTTGGAAAGGTAATTGTCCGTGTGTGATTGTTCGCGAGTTAAACAGATCACATTAACTTATACTCTACCGAGTGGCGTGTGAACCGACATGAGTAAGCAAGCACAAGAGTGATATAGTTCCATGTTATACAAACTGTGAAAGTACGATGACGCTACCAAAGTACACTGCATTGCAAAGAATATGAAATTCTCAACGCTGACGACCCGACATTAGCTTTAAGTGGAGAGGTGATAAGACACACGTTCTGCAAGTGAGTTCGACTGACCTGATGGTCAGACATTTTTGAATTAACTTAATATTCTTTGATCCGGTTCCAAGAACAATTTCTTGTCGTAAAGATCTAATCAGTTTTACAGACGATAACCAGACGAACTAAGGCTACGAACAGGCGGGTGCAGATTGTAGGGACAACGGAAGACTGGAACGAACGTACAAAATGTTTTGTGGAAAAAACGAATGAGTAAACCAGAGTAATATAGACTCCAGGGCAAATAGTTAATTTCCCAAAGAGGCCACTAAACCAAGACAGATAAATCCACTTCTATATGGAACTTGGACATCACCAAATGGGGCAGAAATGAAAGCATGAATAAAAGTAGCGAGTGGAACTTGGCGAAATGTGCTCATTTGCAAAAAGGAGTTGCTTTTAACGAGATATTCCCAGCTGGATTTCTCGTTTATGATATTCTTCAACTGAAAGTATTTCATATTTTCGTTGATGCAACAAACCAGATGTCACAATATATCATCGTGATATGACACAGTGTCCGTGTTGGGGGCATTTCAGCTCTTTTCCAGAACCACCATAAACCCGATGAGACTTGAAATATTACAGATATTTAAGAATCAACGTCCTCACGATGTTGAAACCCGATGAGACTTGAAATATTACAGATAATTAAGAATCAACGTCCTCACGGTGTTGACATCAGCCGAACACAAAACTTTCGATTTGGGATGTCATTCAGCTGAATATGCAGTTCGGAGGCTGCGCCAAAATACGGTTCAGCCGATATCCAAGGGCATAATTAAACCTTCTAGTCGGTGCTATTCATTCACTGGAAAGCGGTTTAATTGCTTTTCTCCATTCGAACTGTGGAAAAGCCGTAGAAAATTACGTTGACGAAATGATGCCGTGAAAAAAACAGTGGACGCAGCTGTTTTACGACTGAGGACTGGTTCTGGCAATTTTCTCAAAAGAACTGAGATATCGATCGAAAAGGAGAGGATAGAGAACTCTATGATTGGAATTTAACAACAGGTTTTGACTCGGACTAGCGTAGCGGCAGCGAAATTGTACTGAGGAATTTTGACAACTTGTTTCCGACTGCAAAGCAACTGTGAGCAGTGTCGACCGATTAGGGTGAATGGGCTGAAGTCAGATATCCGGGTCAAACGAAGAAACTCACGCAAAACTCTAAAAAAAATCCAGCGCATAATGACATGCTTGACTAAGAACACTTCTAAAGGCTTTTCGAAAAAACGGCGGCAGTATGATTCCGGGTGCACCCAATGTAATAGACGTTAAAAACCGTATTCCGGGTGCACCCAATGTAATAGACGTTAAAAACCGTCTGATATGGAAATATACGATTATGGAGGTTTGAAAAAACTAAAGCCAAGAAAATCTTTCTGGGAGCGGTGAGTAGATTGGTGGATATTTATTCGCAGCATTCTCTAATTAGTAGAAAGACCAAGACCAGCACTACGTTGTCTCATTACTAACTGGGGAATAATGGAGGTGATAAAGAGACCAACACCCACCCGAAACCCGACAAAGAGCCATGTTTGTAGGACTGGCAATCGATCGAATTCGGCGCCATCTTGTCACCTCGGCAGGTAAACATCGAGGTGAACAGATGAAAACTTCAGTGGAAGCATGTGATCCAAACCAGCTAATGGATATGATGCAGAAATGAGTGAAATAACGCGATTACAGGGTTGCGGACCGACAATTCGGTTCAACAAATTCCGGTTGATAATTAGACGTATTCCAAAGATTAATGAGCTTCACTTAGAATGAAACCAAGCAGGTGAACTGAACACAATTATAGCGTGGGAGTGAACTGCCCCAAATTGTTTAACTGGACAGCGTTTTTTTTTAATTCCAGGCAACTGACAAATGAAAACGATGAAATCTAGGTGTGTTCAGGTAAATGCCTCTACAGAAACAAACAAGATGGCTGCGAATCAGCGCTTGGTATGAGCCCACAACACGGGTTAATATCAGCAGTATGTGAAGTCACTATCAAACCTGCATTCCGTAACATCACCAGTCTTACTTGAACCAGAAAGTAGCAAGTAGGTTGTGCACTATTCCAATGACCGCGTGTAATAATCATAGTAGGAAATGTTTACATAAAAAACTAATCAACAGACAAATCGGACTAACTCAGAAGAATACACATATGAAACTGTGTTGATTAACGAAAGCGAAAGAATGCTTTCTAGGACCTATCCACGGTAATTCCAATCTCCAATGATGTACATAAACAGTCAGACGACACTATGATAAAGAAAGGGAACTAAAAGTGAAGAGTACAGCACTCCAGCTATATCAAATTTTGGAAAAGACAGTCAAATCTGGTTGGTGACTGTATTTCGAGGGGATGAAGTGAACATTACTTGACGGTGATACTCTCAGATAACATGGCCTCTTTTGAGGAGTCTAATACACAGGGAACAGTTAGTTAGCAAGGCCGAATGCTGTAGAACGAAGACAGCAACGATCTTTTATACACAGGATGACCTTAAGTTGAACTACACTATGATTAAGACTGAGAGTACTAGGGTGATAGGATCCTAAACATATTCTGATAATAATTGTGTGCCAATAGAAATTTGAAGACGCAGTTTTGAAAAATAAGTAGGCATGTAATAACAGGGCCCCCTCGTACTTCTATCAAGATATCTTTAGACCTAAACCTAAAGATTTCTGTGTCTCAGAAGGGCTCAGTACGATTGGGGGTGCTAACCCGGATAACTGTCTGGTCAGTTCAAAAATCGCTCGAAATACTACCAAACGGCAAGGTTGGAGAGCTTCCGTTGAGGAAGTCCTCATCACTGCTATCTTCCTCCTTTTCTCAAGGCGAAGGATGAAATCGAGCGTCCATCACTTCTAACCGTTTTGACAGACCATAAATTGTTCAGGGTAAATAGATAAGCCGTTCAAAATAGCTTCACTGTCCCTCCGAAGAGAACAAGCAGATAGATCTGTGACGGTACTTAGGTGAATTTTTGACTGCTGTCGTATAGAACAAATCGAATAAAAGTCAACCATTGTACACCGTATTGATTCCATTCAAGATATGCAAGTCACCAATCCACCCAGAGCGGGCGGAAGCGGTATAGGCTATCCAGTTATTCCCACCTTAATCTTCGAGCGACCTGGAAAAACGCATATAATTGACCGAAATTCTAAGCCTACAAGGGGCTGTTGAGAATGTAGTCTGGACACCACTCACGACTCTTGCAAGTCCGCCATTTGCATACACCAAGGGTTTCTATTCCATAGCTGTTCCTAACTGAGCTGATGCTATGGACTGCCGAGTACGATTATAGCAGGGGTCTTAGAACTGTTCCCGTCTGTTCGCTATAATTCCTAACCCGCTTGAAGTTATACAAGGTTGCGAAATGTTCGAATGAACCACGATTGGCCCAGAAGATGCTATTACCCTTGTTGAACAGGGATTATCGACATAACTCGCTGTGACTAGCAAACCTATAGTGAGAACAAGTAAATTACTGAGTGCTCAAACCCATATCAGGAAGGTTCGAATCCCCTCGATGATCCGTGAGGCGGGTTGACGGCGATTTTAAACCACAATGGGAAGGCTTTATAGTGCCTATCGGCCTTTAGCACGAATATATTTCATTTGTAATACGGAACTAAAACATGCAGATGTTAACGCACTGTTTGAGGCTAAAAATACCAGGTTAGGTGTGTCGTAGCCTCGACTATACAGGGTGAATTCGCCGGTAAACATTCAGCCTGTTCATTCATCTTGTTTTCGTTGGAAACGAAACAAAAATAAGTTAAACACGGTTGGCTTACCATGAGGACAGATAACTGAGGTAGGTCGTTGGGGTTGACGACAGGACCAGGTGGCGAGAAGGCCGTATTTGTGACAAGTCAAAAAGCTTTTGCCTTCCCAGTGCCAGCAAAATCCATATAATCTCTGTAAGAAAGGACGATTGTAAGGTATCAGATGACGACCATTGAAAAACTTTGTTCACCAAACTGTCCTTCCTTGAGGAATCGGACGAAAGAATACTCTGCTGTAGGGGAACCCTCAGTCACAAACAAACTGAGTAGCAAACAGATAATAGGCAATGTGTGTCTCAAATTCCACACCAGAGGTCTACATGGAAGGTAATCATTCAGGAAACAATCTCGGAACACTTGTCCGCTATAAGCAGGGGGATATTGAACGGCTAGTGCTCAAATTTGTGACGGAAGAATGGGCTGACAATTCTGACCGGAGGTTGCGGTCGCTTAGGAAGACGTTGATCATACATATGTTTCGGTACAGTTCCGAGTGAGTATATCAATCTACCTCGATGCGGTTCGAAGTTGGTTCAGCTGTAGCACCCCTTCGGTGCCCAAATGCTATGATAACCGAAAGAAGCACGAGGGATGGGATACTGCTAGGTTGTTCAAGCCTAGACAAGAGAATTCGAGAGGCAGAGGTCGGATTCGAACCACGGACCTTCCGGTCGGTAAATTTGCGCTCCAACCACTGAACCATCTCAGTTGAACTTGAAGACTGTTCTCCGAGTGCTCATTATTTGACCATACTAACCGCGGCAGGAACCAAACAGCCTGAACAGGCAATTGGACTGATTCTTCCGGAACCAATAACAACGTGCGCCCATTCTCTTTAACGAAAGTGATCATTTAATTTCTATCGAGGCATTGCATTCACCATCGCATTGTGTCTGAGCAGAAGCATTTAATGAACAAACTATGGTTACATGGTTTTCCCGAGAATTCGATTTTTTCGCTCGGCCTTGAATTGATGAACTTGCCTCGTGTTGCGAATCGCACAACAGTACAACAGGCGACTGGCATCACAAGTTAAGATGTCTGTTTCTCTTATTGTATCTGTCAATGTTAGATTGATTTTTGCCAAGTTTTACGTCGACGGCTGTTTCCACAAGGTGAGTTTCTACACAATAATTGAGTGGTGCAGTTCAAGAGTTGTGACGTGACTCCATTAGCTAATCCTTCCAACGATTGTTCCTGTGCTGTGGGTAAAGAAACACAGTAGAGACAACCTTTATTTTTATACACCTCGACTGGTCACCGTGTGCTCAAACCTTTTAGCCATATTGCTGTGATAGTATGATTGTAACTCTAAACCAAGATTCCTGCCAAAGTGTGATCAAGTAAACCAAAAGAATTCGAGTGTAAACGTTCTCTGTTTTTGCGTCTTCAGTTGCTGACAATCTTTTTGTCATTGTAGGCGAACTTAACAGGATCAAACGGTCTCAAATCATTTATTCTTTTAAGTCTCCGCAGACTAGTCCACGATTCAAGAAGAAATGAGATACAGACTAACCGTATACTCAGCGTCACAGCTAATTTATATCGCCACAACCTCTGGGTATAACCAACTACTCCATCATTTTTGCTCTTGTGGTGATTTTTTCCTGTTTGCATCACCGTTCCTTCATACAGTTCATGCATAAACTCATTCATAAACGCCATGTCAACCCAGATGGTAGTTCTCTCCATAACCAAAACAAAGGATATTTCCTTATTGAATTTTTACTTCTGTAATACAGTTTCTAATTTGCACTTTTGCAACAAATTAATCAGATCTATGCAACGCAAACGCGTTCGAAAACGAAAGCAGGATGCTTGCAGATGTGGGAGGCATGCAATCGTGAATGATATAAGTTCGAAAGTGCAACAGGTGCCAAGATCCTTTTTCTTGTTGAAAACGAGAGACCTGGATTCACCAAAACACGTGTGAGGTCGTATCTGATTTTAGCGGGTCCTGAAACTTCCTTGGTTCCTTTGCTCTTTCAAAATAGCGCCCGAGAATAGTTGAAACGTTTACATAAACCCTCTCGGACGTAAGTGCCTTCCAACCCTGCTGGTATATGTCCACGTTTGTTGAAATATCGCACCCATAAGTTGAATGCGGCCATACTAGAAACCAACAGTGACTCATTCATCAGTTTCAAGGACTTACCGCATTAAGCTCGTAGTCGAAGCAGGCGGAATTTATCGCACGATTGTTTCTTTCTCAAAAATCACGTAGAAGATGGTAACTACGCAGTGCCTTCTCTGGCTTGTCTTTGTTTGGCTCTAACCTCCTCTAATTTACTTGTAAGAAAAACTGCACCACATTTGATGATGTGATCTCCTTTGTTCACTCCATTGCTTAGTATTTAAACAATGGTGGTTTATGTTCTTCTCCACCTGTCTTGAGCGTTTCTCACCGAGGACAGACCATTCCTAAATAGGACACACGTTGAATGCCCTACTTATTCACGTGATTTGCCACAGGTAGTGACCTCTGCAGCCGCACCGGAATACTGTTCTTCACGGTGCAGTTTCAGGCTCATGTCTTTTTCAAGAGTAATACTAATAATAACCTCTGAGCTGTCCACTCGGTTGGACTCTTCAAATTACTCCGCCTTATCTTCCTACCATGAGATTGATGATTTTCTGAGATCCACATCCGGTCTACAATTCTTCGGCACTGAAATAATCCTCCGATTAATGTCTGAATTTTCCCAATGTCCCTCCGTTTGGAAAACCATGGAAAGCGATCTCTCAACCGTGTGCCACCACCAACACTAGCTGTAGCATGTATATGATATAAGGTGGTTACTACTGACAGTTTCATTCGTCTGGCAGACCTGGGGAAGTAGGGAGGAATAGCAATGTATTGGAGTCAGCAGCTGATACCGTTCAAGCGCGAAACCGGAAGCGACACTGAAATTTTCTTTCTGAAAACTTGAGGTAGAGACTAGGTAATGAAAGAAATAGCCTGTATGCGTGCGCGCAAGGGGGGGGGGAGATTAGGCTATGTTTACCAATGCATCTATCCATTGATGTGTCCCATCTCGGGGTCCCCATTGGAGAATATATTTAGGAGTGAGTTTAAGCCCCAATCCAATTGAGAATGTTCACGTTGAAACAGTTTCCCTAGAGCTGGGGGAATATCGTCTATGTATAAGAAAGCTACGCTGATTCACAGTTTTAACCATATATGCAACCATATGTTTACCCATCATTTTGTACTGGTCCTTAGTCATTTTTCCGGTTTGCCTGAGAACTTTTGTCTGTTCAAACAGCAGACTGTTAAGACCCAAGTTCAGACAGTTTTCTCAATTTAATCGATCTTTTGTTTTTCTGTTTCAAGATTATTTATAGTTGGCGATTTTCATGCTGATATCGTGTCCCATAGACAAGACTTTCCGAGTATATTTATATCTTTTCGCAAAACCACGTGAAGGGTAGAAGAGAGACAGAGGCGGTCAAACAATGACTTGGCAGCGAAGTATGAAAGTCATTACCAGAAAACTCAGCTGCGCTGGTCACTGCCGTCTTCCTGGATGGGGACCCCGAGACGGGCCATATCAATGCTTGGAGATATTGTCAGACATGGCCCAGTCGCGCCCTCAATGTCGCTCACGCATCCAAGCTATTGCCTTCAATGCATAGCTCCTTTTCCAACCCCCCCCCCACTTGACAGCTCACTGACAGTGCTGGATTTATGCACCAATTTATCAGCTCCCGCCTGCAATGCGCAGATACCTACCCCTCCCCCCAAATCATCGGTGAACGAAACTGCGGCAGCTACAACCACTGTACGACGAGTACGCGGTTATTACAGCTAAAAATGATGATGATGATGATGATGATATCTGCATATAAAAGTAAAGTTTAATCCGCATACGTGATGTGTCACATGTAAAGTGTGTCAAACAGTGTGTCTTCGCACGGATCACCTCGACGACAGTGGTTTCACCATTAGCACAACAGCCGCATCTTCCGCACAACTAAGTTTTTCTGGAAGCCTCAGAAGAGTGGATGATTTGTGAATGATTACCAATATTCCCAGCATTCGCGAGGACAACCCATAAGCCGCGGCCAACATTGACGGATGGGTGCCAATTCAACGTATTCTTCGTAAAGTTTATCGTGAATGTTCCCAACTGACGCAGAAGTATTCTTCCTGGCCAGATCGAATTCTCCCGGCAAATGTGTCGGAAGATCAGACAGAAGCCCCAAGCAGACACTATCAGTTGCCATAGAATTTGGCGTTGGCACAATGGAAGAAATAAGAAACACCATTGCTCTCTGAATTTCCCAGATACCCTACTACTTAGGATAATGAATCTGGAAAGTCTGAATGCACTATGTACGAGAAATATCCGCGAATTCGAAGTTGGTCGCAGGCAAATTAATTTATCGCCAATCCTGTGCCCGAGAGAAGCTGACAAATGTAAAACAAACATCTTCAATCGACGATCAAAACGATCTTATGGTCAGTAAACGCGGCTACTGTTATCACCGATAAATGGAGCACAACTCCTAGGCGCACATCGCATAGATTGAATGATGTTCACTTTCAAGGTCAAACGTGACCTGTAAGTTGCGATCATTGAATTAACGGTATCATTATGAACCACTAATTGGATAAACCTGTGATGCGGCGCATGGATTAGCACTGCATGAGCTGGAGCAAGGTCAATTATTGGCACACAAAGACTCCTCAGGGGTGTTGAGAAAATATGAAGACCAAGACCATCGACCGCCTCCTTATCGATCCAGACAAACAAATATTGGGATAGTGTAATTGGAGGAAAAAATTTTCTGACTACACGAGGAAAGGATCTCTGCGTGGTGACTCAATTCAGCTGAGGACTGCGTCAACTTTACAAAGGTTTCTTAGACTAGATGTTGGTGTACATCTCAAGTCAACCCAAGTTTTGACATTTGACTATTATGAGAGATCACAAAAAGGAAAATGGAAAAGAAGCCCAAAGACTAGAAATTGTATGCAAACCGAGGAATAGTTTTGTTCAGCAACGACGGACTGAAACTTGATAGGGACGAATAGAGAAATATAGACGCAAACGATGGAAAATGGATTTATCGCGACCATGTGAAGGAATGATCCGCGTCGTAAATCACAGCCAAAATTTTGCAACCAAGGAGGTTAATTCGAAGGACCCAAATGAACTAACGTATGGGTGTCATGAGGCACCAGAAAGGAGTTTACAATGTCGGTTCTGGAATACAGGGAAATCCACTTCCTGGTTGTGAAAGGAAGACAAAGAATCGATTCATATGCCGAGAGATTGATGGTTTCCCTCAAGTTCATTCCGAAAAGTCAGCCGGAATCCACGGTGTGCCAACATAACTACGTACAAGCAAACATCTGTCTCAACACAATGTGGTTATTGCTTTTCAACGTCAAGGTTACAGAGTGACTCGCTCACAGACCGGATGTATTCAAGCTTCTGTTCAAATCCGAAGACCTGTTCTGCACTGTAATGTGTTAAGTTTGAATGTAATAAGTATACAGCCGTCTGTGAAGTAGAGAATAGGTGTTTTAACAGCACTGTTCGGGCCATCTAATGGGGAATTAAGGGTATTCACATTACCAATGGGTACCGAGCCACAAGACGTGCAGATGCATTCAGAAAGTTTATGTGCCATGTGTACATTTTCATAATTGCTGGTTTATGACTCTTGTCGACTCTTAAACAGTTGAGTTGGAGGCTAATCCTGCCTAGCCAAAATGCTAATCCATACTTTCATGGAAAGTTGGCATTATGAATAAACCATTCACCGCGAAAAATTACCTACCACTTGTTGCTGCCGTACCCCTGCATCCATGTTACACTCCTCCCAAGAACGAACACCCTCATGGAGAGAACACCTGTCAGTTACCGCTAAGTATGAGCACTATTTTAGCCTCGATGGTTTTTAGTTAACTGTCAGACCACATAAGAGCGGGACACTAAAATTGCGTCTCATTCTTAGAGTTTATCAGCAGTGCATATCCTCTATCATGCCGGAATTAAAAATTCGGACAACTAATATGTGAGGCGACCTTGGTACTATCATGGACACAACCAAATTATTACGTCTGTAAGTGTGAACACGTTCAAGAGCGGGCAGGCGATGTGACTCGTTTACCCGTCTCAACCGAGAACCCGGTAACTGTCCTGGTGATGTGGACCGATGGATCCGCCGGTAAAAATTCAGTGTCCGGACAGAGGAAACGGATGTTTCGAATCTGTCGTTTTAGTTGTTACTTTTTGTTGTTGGTAACTGAGGGATTTCTTGAATCTGGACTCAAGTTCAGTGCTGCACCACTTTAGTGAGTCAAGAAAGTATTGTTCAAACAAGGGTGATGTGAATATAAACACCGAAAAATGTTTATCAAAGAAGCCCTTCAAGAGGTAAAAGTCCGGCCACCCTACTCGCTTGGTTTGCATATTAGATTGATTAAATCACAAACAATCGATGCGGTAAGGATCAAGAGAGCATTTGTGGCAGTGCACGTCCGACGAACAAGAATCGACAAAGGAAATTATTCGCACCAGATGATACCCAGTTTGCCAATCAGTTGAGGGTTTCCAGAGCCCGATAAGAAACAGGATTATCAAGAACACGACCAGGAAATGTAAACGGATCATCGAGGCAATCAAGGCCAATCTTAGAACCACAACCACCCAGAGATTGACCTCTGGAAGAACGGACACAACTCCTTGAAAAGCGCACTCCTTGGGATCAGAGCAAATGGTTCCCTTTCTGTGAATGTTCAGCAACAGAAACTCGGAATAGCCAAGTGGCAATCCAGAAGTATTTGAACATTTAGGCCACACTACTACCAAATGGAAAAGTACACTTGGGTTGCTCACTGTGAAGGCGCATATCAATCAGCATTGGACATTAAAGTGTCCACTGGGTTCCTTTTTGTATATTGAAAAATACTTCAGAGAACCGGTTGTCTGACGCAATAGCACTGTAGTGTAACTCCAAGGAACACGTCAAGAAGTCTGCACTCGATTCGGCCCGATGACTCGTACGAACACGTAGCTGCGATTTCTGGTTATAGGGACAGTTATCCGATGAGAATGCGTTTTGTGGAGAACGTTGGTGGAAAAAGTTAATTCATTCCAAGCCCATACATGATGGTTGATACCCAAGAAGTGGCGAGTAAATGCAGGGCTGTCCTCGGCAAAAAACTGGGGTACATTCAGTAAGGGTCAACGAGCAACTGATTGACGCCATGTAGTCACTGTGAGCTCAAGGCGGGAAATCGAAAAATGATAAACAGCTCTAGTGAAGCTAGCTACCTTTGATAACAGAGAAGTAGTATGGTAGTGCCAAACCACAGCAACAAAGGCACCTTAAGCGTCTCCTTCACTTTGGCTAATGAAATGAGAAGAAGCTGTGGGGCTCCGAGGTAGGCGGCCCATTTCAGTGGCCATCAGCAACAACGTACCTATATAACAGAACACCTACTGACTTTGGGGACTGCATCGTTAGTTCGATTACCACATACCTCTACATTCTACAGCTGATTACCTCTCATCCTGTCGCATGCCATCCAAAATGTACTCAAATATCAACTTTAGCTTCGGGCATCTGCGTGTCTGCGACACTGGGTAGATCAAATGAGGTTAAAGTTATAAAGTTAGCGTTTACAAGATTGTTTTGAACAGATATTAAATCAACAGCTGGTGTAAGAAACAAAGATGTATATGTATGGAGAATGATACAATGATACTCGCGTTGACGGCTCTTCACGCAACTAATCCCGCTCCTGTGTGTGACACCTTGGTGTGAATGAGAGTGCTGTTATTAGGAAAAAGTTTGTCAACGCGAACTTTTAAAAAGTGCCGTTGAGGATACTATTTTGTTCTCTTGTTGAAAAAGAAAACACCTCAAAGTAACGACGAATTTTTGCGTCTCTCTCTCTCTCTGTCTTGGTTGCAACTGTAGAAAAGGAAATGTGTTACACTCAATAACAGTAGCTAATTAAAACACTCGCGAACTAGGGTTGGTAGTTTTGCGCAACTGCTGGCAATACTGTCAACTGAAAGAACAGAACGGTATTTAGGAAAACTTACCTCATTGTATCTAAATCGAGCCTCAGTGGATCTGGTCCTTAAGTCCCATAAGATTATTAGGCCAGAACTGAATGCAATCAGTAGTTTGTTTGCATCTTGTGGGTTTTCTGCAATCTGAATGACACGGCCGGGGTGAGATGACTGGTTTCTGTGAAAAGGAAATAGATCAATTAAGTAAAACAGTGAGAAGCCGGGATAGGACACAAAAATACAGAAATGGTTATCCGAATCGATCAGTTCGACGGCAAAAAGGCAACAAAGAGGCCTACCCTGGCCGGTTCTGCGAGTATTGCATTGAAAACTAGCATTTAGCTTTTGTCGAAAGCTTTCCAGCTTGGTCGTCTAACCAGATGAACCACTTTCGCGGACAACAAAGTGGGTGATTATCATGAAGCAGCACTGATTGGATTTTTGAGATGAAGTACATTACTTTCGACTGAAAATTTATTCTGGGCAAAGTGATAGGAGGGTGTGTGAAGCTTCCACTGCCATCGAGGCTAGTGACCATTCGGATGCAATTCATTCACACAGGACCCCACATCCATTGAGAAGAAACCAGTGGTTAAAACGGGGACAAAAGGAAAACAGCACATAACTCAATTGAATAAAAAAGTAGATGAGCAGATGACGAAAGCAGATGAACCAAAGTCGCCGGACTAACTACCGTAGCCTTTATCTAAGACGTCACCAACACAAGAAAGTGAAAGAGATTCAATTCTCAGCGGTTGCTACAGTACCCAGACTTTGGGAAGGTCGTTCAACTTATATACAGATTAACAAGGGAACTCGGAGCGGCACAATAACAAGTCGGAATCTGTTACGATTCGCCCAGTTATGGTATTTACCATACAAAAGTTTGGAAGAAAATTTTAGCCTCTAAAACATCCGCGGTACATGAAAACGATGAATCAGCGTCCGTGAAAAAGTTTCAAACCTAGAATAACCATCTAAGCCAGACATACTGCGGCGGTTGGCACACGTAAACAATGGAAACCAAAAGGCTAATAAGTTAAAGTTCGAAAGTAAATAGATTTAAAACCAGTGCTATCCAAAATGACGATGCAACTCGCTTTTAAGGATCTACACCCTTGGGATTCATTGTCAATGGGACACTGAAGAGGATCACAGTGATAAGTGAACACAAAGATGTCCTGCTAACTGGATTAGTTTCCCCGCTTAGTTTGTGTGACCACACAATAGCAGCCAAACAAAATAAACTCCTTAACGCCCGTATTAGACATTCGACATTTACAAGTGAACAAACAAACAAATCTATCTGCGGCGACCCGATGGATGAAACTGAATCCATCTGTCCCCGGCCAACGCCTCCCACGCAAGAAGTACGAACGGTACGAATTTGACCGAACCCAGATGGGAATAACAGAGAAGTCAGAGATGAATCTCAACCATTCATATGGGTCTCGCGCCTCAGGCGTTTGCATATCCCCAACGAGCTCTGTAATCGACGAGTCTTATGTACAGTGCTGTGAAACAGCAGCTCTGAGTAGTGAGTAATACCGACGTGTGCTTAGATCAAAAGAGTTGAGAACCATCGGCTCCAAGCAGGCCATCTCCCAGAGGATGAAGTCCGTTACAAATGTAAAAACAATTAATACGCTGCTCAAATAAAATTTCCATGGATACCAAAGACGAACGGATCCTTGTTCAACGCGGAACCCAGCGTGGTGAGTTCATCTCTACTCACGTCGGTGGACAACTTTCGTCACTTCATTGGACGATAAACTATTCTCCAGAAAAAGCATCACGGTGTAATTGAACAGCAACCTTAGGTTCCCAAGTTCATCCGAATGGTAAGCATTCACTCAACATTCGAAATGATGGAACGAACGAAGGAGCGATCGTGCATGTCACTGAACCCCCAAGACAGGTCTTCGCATCTGGTATACCATGAGATCCGAAATTCAAAAGTAGACTGACCATCGGTGTCGAGAGGAACAGCGCAGAAGGTGAGGCCTTATGGTAGTCGACTTCTTGTCCCGAGGGTTGCAATCCAAATCCACAACCACGCTTCATATTTTATTCTAACTGTTTTTTAACTCCCCCTCAAAAGGTTATCTCACCTACGTACGGAAGAGATGCCTCAGATGGGCAGCCGCATTACGCGGAAATCAGGAACCGATGGAAAACATAGCAACTTCAGGATGGTAGGCGGGGTGTGGTTCTTTGTTAACTTGTCTGTGGACAGATAACCGTATTCTTTGCGCAGTGGGGAAGTGTACAGTAAAAAGAGATTGACAGAGTAAGCCGTGGAGAATGACGTTTTGCGGATAAAAACACGGGTTTAGAAGTTTCAGAAAAAGCTCCGGAAATTTCCATAAGCATATCCGATTTTTTAGGCAGTTTTGGCCCTTCCAACTTTCGCAGCTCAAGCGAGGCAAAGCAAACCCATTTGTTTGTTTGTCTCAAGCACCCGAATAGGCTGATAATGGCTGACCTTCAACAAGGAATTCAACAAGCATACCTTTGATGCTAAGGTCTATTTTGATATATGAATGCAGACGCTTCTCTGCTCCATGATATTCTATCCACAGATCCTACCCAGATTTCTGCTCAGCGGAGATATCTAAAGCAGTACAGATCACGGTAGAAAGCCGTGAAAGCATGGGGCACGGTGAGTCAGTAGTGAGACGCAGACCAGATATACGACGTAGCAATACCGATCAGTAGGTGTGAGCGCTGCTACTCAATACGGTTTGGTGAATTATGCCAGGGGTTATACGAGTCCCACTGAAGGCAATCATAGGCCATTATTAATACTTATTAATGGTAATAATGTGTCACAGAAACTATGAAAATTAGCGGCATCAAGAAGCTCCGCATATATACGTGGAGAGAAAGCAGAACCGTCACACAATTTAGCTCGGTCCTATTGGCATTTGAAAAGCCGGTTTTGATTCTGTCTGCATGCAAAGAAAAAGCATCACTGAAATATCACAAAATGTAGGCTGTTGTTCCCTCTGAAACATGATTAATCCCATACTATGGACAAATTTACACATTTGTAAATGAATTTACCGTAACTAGCGAAGTACACTCATTTGCACACCCATTTGGTTTTGACCGGAGGCTCACCTGGAACCCAAACGAATCTCGTGTTTATGTTCTTCTGTCGAAGAGTTTTCAGAAATCTTACGAATGGCGTATTACGTCTATATAAGGAATAAGTCACTTTAGGCATTTGATTGTGGCCGAACTGCGATGAGTCATGTGGAAGGGGCTGCTGTACCAACTTTCTGAGCTCCAGTTAGGGCGGTAATTATCATGGGGTCACGTTTTCAAAACCGATCATGCCCGACTGTCAAGTACGACGGAGCCTTTTGGTTCGTGATGTTGCCAATTGCAGAGTCAATGTGAGTAGTCAAAACAAAATCACCTTGGGTTAATGTGGAAAACCCAGGTTGCATCAATAACTTCGACTACTCTAGAGCAGTCAAGCATTATTCCGGGCTTTTCACCCTGACTCATATTTGCTATTTGTAAGACACGGGGCACTACTGTATTTGAAAAAAAAACTACTATCCCAAGTAACAGATGATTAACCTTGCTAAATCCACCCAAAGAGTCTCCGTCAGGAGAAAACCTCCAGCGAATTACGCTTGCCACTTTTAACTTGTTACCCTAACTTCGAGTCAACGAGATTTTACATCAACCATCATCCGGGATTTTTACTCTCGGCCGCACTGGTCTTTCGTATGTCAGTAAAACAATACTAGCAAACACTACAACTTTTGTTGAGAAAGACGCCAACCTTAAGCGAGATGGGTAGTATCTATGGCCTACTCTTAAAAAAAATCAGATGAACAAAAGCTCAACAAAGTATGTCATGGTGAGAGAAACTGGATGTTCTTAGAAAAGGACTAAACCACGTCAGACCGTATATACATTGAAGTAGCCGAGTGGGTGTGACAACCGCATTTTCTCCAAGTCCAAAAAGTGTGGCGCATGAGCCTTGACCGTGAAGACAGCTGAAGTGACTGGAACCGACCTCACATCAGGAGACTGCAGTTGTTGCGGTTGAGAAGCCCGGTTGTGACCCTATCGCATCGCTGCAAGCGGATGTAACGATATAAGCTACTGGCGGTGATGACAGGTACAACTGCTGGGTTCCTCTGTTCTCGTATCGTCTCTAAACCAGGTACCGTAAAACAACTACGACCTTGTGAGTCCGTTCCACTTCCGGGCTTTTGAAAGCCAATACGGCTGAAGAAGCACATTTTGATCACTGATACCACCAGATAGATGGATTATGACCTGATAAAACGTAAATTAATTCAATCCGCTTAAACAACTATAATTTGTAGGCTGAATACAAATGCATTGCACTGGTTATCACACAAAGCAATACCGGCAGCAATATCACCTAATATGACAGATCAAGTGAATTCTCAAAAATCGATATTCCATTTGTGATTCGAAAGGACGGGAAGTTCACACCAGTGACTCCGATGCGACACCGTTTTTCCGACAGGAGCAGACTACATGATGCCACGGTGTGCTTCAAACATGGGTTGACAAACCAAAGAGTCACAAGAAGCTGCTTACAGGCTTCTTGTATATGACGACCTACGGACAGAACGCTTTCATGGCAGTCAACACTAACCGAGGTGGTTCAGTGATATTCAGTGGCGCTCCAGCATTGGACCAGCCATCTTCAATATGTGGCTATCCTTTTCATTCTCTACATTCAGTGAGCGAAACTATGGCAACCGGAGACAGAAATTTTCGTTATGGAGTTTGTAAATCATCGGATAAACTGAGAGAAAACCAAACATTCGAGGAGCTGAATCGGTATTGCACGACCCGATTGGAACCGTTGGTCAGGGAAATCCGCACTGTGGTCTTTTAGATAACGACGATGGTACCACTAGGAAACTGGAACAGTGGAATTCAAAGGATAGCAGACCATTCACTAGTGACTTAGTAGAATAAATACATTGACCAGCGCCTGCATGATGCGTGGAGCTGAGCTAGTTGCATGGTGGAAAGAATTTAATGATCGGAGAAGTGTGTGACACGCACCCAGGGACAAGTTGTCATCAATTACATCACAAGCATGTGATGCACCGGTACTACGTTCAAGATCTCGAACGCAACATAGCGTCTAAATAACGTGAGATTCTGATAAATTGAATCGAACTGCATTGAATTGAACCAAAAGAGCGATTGGACATCCAGCTGAAAACTCGTTTACGATACTCAGACCAGTATTCTCCATCCATGGTACAGTGAAAACGGCTACCAAAATGGATTAGATAAGCACCCCATTGTGAATGGGAGTAACCACAATACTGAACAGACCCCGTTGTTAGCAAATAATCCATTCACTTCAAAAATCGAAAGCCTCGAAGCGCGGAAAATCAATACGGCGACATTCACTGGAAGTGCACTTCCACTTAACGCATTAGTGATTTTACCTAGACTGGTAACGAAACGCTGACAACCAAACAGCACAGCACAGCTCGGCGAACGAACCAAAACCACCAATACACCCTGAACTACCAGTATTCTCTTCAACTGCGAACCCGGTTCTGTTGCTGTATCATCGAGTGGCAAAGCGACAAGGACCAGTTTTGTAATGAATGTTGTGGTGAGTTTTCAATAAAAAAGAAACTGATATAAATCGTAGATCACACGAACCCAAGTCCTACGTATTGACCGTCAGATTGATCGAACAAATGACAGCATTCAGATGCGGTTCCCATTGAGAACGCAGCTGCCACTACACAAAAAAGAGGTATTATAGAGTTTCTCAAAACCACATAGAAACAAGCGCGATGTACAAGATGGATCCAAACTTATATGTTCCGGTTGGAATCTCAAACGTTATCGTCTGTGGCAGTGACAATGCACAAAATGCTGTCTTATCTTACAGTTCCAAATAAGTAACTAATTCCCCCTCGATGTCCTACGACTGGTTTCGCCCTTTTTGGAGCTTATCATAAAACGAGAGACTCAGCCGGGTTCCAAGTGAGTCCCCCGTCGAAACCGAATTGGTATACAAACGAGTGTATTTCGTTAGCTATCGCACCATTTCTAAAACCAGGTGACTCGAACCAATCAAATCAGTAAATCGAAACTGTGATCCAGTGAGCAGTAACCACAAAGTGGGAGTTGGGAAACACCCGCTTGTCACAAATGTCAAAGTGTTAGGAGCAGAAAGGCGAACGAAAGCGCTGTTTGCTCTCTGATTAGAACTGAATAAACAAAACGAGGAAACAACAACGACACAACAACAACGACAACAACAACAACAGAAGAAGACGCGGTGATGGCGACATAGGAGCTGAAACCATTAGCGGATAATACCGTTGCGTGGCGAGGTTGTCGTGTCAGCAGAAACCTCCGATTTAAAACGAGGAAAAGACTTACAAATCGATTGCTTTGTTCCAATTGATCACATATCCGGATGTAGTGAAGCGTTGCACGTTTACAAAATGCACGTTGCCCTTATCCGTGCCCAAATAGAGCCAACTGCTGCCTACTGGCACGTGACCACAAGTGAGGCTGAGATCGGTGATGGGGAGAAATGAGGCCAAAACAAGGGAGCATTAGATGGTCGTACACTTCGGTATAGACCGTAGAAACAATAGGCTGACAGGAAAAAAATTGATGAGAGAGAAAGCCCCAAACCGGCACAATTTAGGAACAGGACGTCTACTACCGACCCACAGAATGATGGCAAATATACAGATTTCCTGAGGCCGGGAGTAATGTATTCGCGCCGATCCAACACACACGGCACAGTTGAAAAGCAACAGGAAACTAAGCGCGGGATATAGGATGGAAGAATTAGATCGAAGAAGGACATGACGATTGACTATAGATACAGCGTGGACAAAAAGCCGGAAAACAGTTTAAAATGTGGCAGAACACAGAAAAAACAAGTCGCATTTAAAAACTAAACACTTACTGCTCACGTTTGAACTGTAACGAGTGCACAAGCTCGGGATTTTTCTGACGAATGCTCCACAAGTGAACAACATCATCTTGGCAAATGGATATTAGGCCACCCTGTAATGACAAGTATGGAAGGACGAAATTGAGTTTAACTTGGTGAGTGAATGAATTGCAGAGAACGGTCAGAAAATATGCAGTTCTAACGACCAGAGATGGCCGGTGGGTGGTCACACAGTTCCAGCTGTTGTCGTAAAGGGAAGGCACTCCGGTTAGCAGATATGATGAATGAGATATATGGGCTTCAAAACCGCATAGGGCAAGGAAAACTAACATATCAATAGTCTTTTACTACGGAAATCCCTGAATGGAGAAACTTTGGTTCTCGTTTAGGGAGTGATTAACTTAACAACTAAACGTGATGAAAACAAAACAGTTTTGACGGTGGGCCTCAACCAGGAGCAGGAACTCTACGTCCTAGAGGGAGGTACAGAGAGAATAAAATCAAGAGGTTCTGTGATACTAATTGTGAATCTTTATCGCCTCATAGTTAGAGCAAGCAACACTGATTCTACCGGGAACTCGCAACAAAAAGAGAATGAGTATCGATATCACCTTCACACTGAAAAATACCGTCGGAACCAGACAACCCGGAAAATCATGGTCCGCATGCTAAAAAGGGTATTTCAAGAGTGAACAATGAAACACATTAGCTCAAGTACCAACGCAACAGGATAATGATAATAATAAACATAGTGACAGCGATAATGAAAGTAATAGTCTTTGTTTCGGTTGCTGAGCCCGGCAAATTAGCTGCGAACGTTCCCCATCAAATACGACGATATCACCATTGCGCCGTTGTAAAGCGAAGCGTCAATGACTTTACCGCCAATACCAGTAAGAATAATAATGACACTAATGACAGCCTTTGTTCAACAAGTCCAGTTGAATATCTGAATGAGTGATTGGAGTTATAGGCACCTCGGAATGATTGTGGTAAGCTAGCGCTAAGCCCTTCCCCGCCCATCAAATACGACGATATCACCATTGCGCCGTTGTGTAGCGAAGCGTCAATGACTTTACCGCCAATACCAGTAAGAATAATAATGACACTAATGACAGCCTTTGTTCAACAAGTCCAGTTGAATATCTGAATGAGTGATTGGAGTTATAGGCACCTCGGAATGATTGTGGTAAGCTAGCGCTAAGTCCCTTCCCCGCCCACCTTTACTCTTTTCTTTACAATAAGGCCTTCAAGTAAATTATGGTTGTACGGCAGTGAAGCATCGGTGTTGAACACTGATGTCATGCTATCGATGATGATGATATCATAAACGAAAAATTCAGTCGAGTCTCCCATGAAAACCTAATTGATATGCAGATGAGTATTAGTCGGAATCAAGTGGGCTATTGTTTACTCGTCTAAAGAAGCAACTTCAAGGGATTGGTCGGAAAGTCTTTTCTGTGGTGATGGGGGTCTCTTGTATGAGAGCTTTGTTGCAAGGGATATGTCCAAACGAGTATTTCTGCACTAGGGCAGGTAGCTACAGTCTCGATTAGCATGCCATCCTATGTATCCAAATATAAACGCCAAAATGAATTCAGAATGACATATTTTACCTCGGACACGAAGATTCTGTCAAATTTCGCTAAACTAAAGCATAATTCTTAGCAGCAGTACAAAATGACACCCGACTTATCGCAAGACACATTCGAAAATAACCGTCAGTTCGTAACATTATGTATGCATGTATACATATCATCAATGATAGCAGTACAAGTAGTCATACAAATAGTGGTCTACTATCGGATTATCCATTCCGAATTAACAACACACCTATGGAGGTCCCTCAAGACACGCGTTACTATATGCGGACATTCGACGGACGACTCAGACTGAAAATGCTCAGTGAGATTGCTTAGTAACATTAAATTGTGCTAGAACCTTGGCCTCACTTGATGTCGGTGCATGCGTCCTCCGAGCCTATCCTCTTTGGTTTATACTGACAGCAGTGGTCTGAAGACTCGGCTCAATGAAAACGAACTTCGTTATTCACCAAAAAAATTACACCAGCGTCGTACGGTTGACATGCCCTCAAGAGGAAAAGCTGGACCTTAGTATCATGTGGTTGAGGTATGCATCATCCGTCAAGTTATGGATTCCAAAGCAGTACACAGAAATGTGTATTTGGCACATGATTCTGCTAAATCCGGCCATTCCACCCAATCGCGGAGAGACGATCAACTGAACATGCCAGTTCAAGGAAGCCGTGTTCTGGAGCTGACTACTCATAAGCGATAAGTTTGACACTAATTATCAACCAGAATATTCACGGCCCATCAACTTAATTGTTTCTAGCATTGCTCGGAGGAAGAAATGCGACTATCAAGTCCGATTGCACCATGCCTCGTCTTATCGACTTAATATCTTGCTGCGGCTTTGCTCTAAATACAGCTATACGATCCGACAACAAAGCGCCCAGCTATCCGAGTTGGATTTGTGTGAACCGCAATGATTCACATTACCTGAAGTGACAAGTTCACAACAAGTACTCACTCAAGGGATCAAAAGGAGCGAATCAAATGAAATGTCTATACAAACGAGTAACCGAGCTTCATGCTCGCACTAAATCAGATCGACTTCGAAGACATGGATAATGACTTCGAGATCAGCAACCAAAACCTGGGGAGCACGACAGACAACTGTGCTGCGTTCACGTAGTACTGATCGATTGATACTCACTAGGAGGGATGATTCACGAGGGGGAGAATCGTAGATTTCCTAACCGAATGTGGAGTGGACATAACACTCACATAAGAGTTGGGATGCCAGTTGAACAAAAAATAGGGCGGTATAGTCGCACTATTCAAAGTGCATTTAATCAATGTGGCTGAATATTACTCAAAGTAGGTGATGGCTGGTCTGGGTCGAGTGATGAAAAACGCGGCAACTGATTATTGGACAAGTATCTTGCCAGTAGGTAATCGAAAAAGCAACCGGTCTACTAACAGCGATAGACAGTGTGCACTCTAGCTGATTACCAAGCATCATCATCAACATGTATGCATGCTCATCCGTGGTCAACTTCCGTCAGTATCGTGAATATCAGCGATTTCATGTGTATCATTCCGGCTGGCAATGGCTGTACGAATTGGATGCGCATCGCGCTGCATCCATATTCAAACAGTGTAACTGGCATACAATTAATTAATCTTGAAAAAAACATTATTAAACACAAGCGCGGATGTCCAGTTTGCCATGCGTAGAGTCAACGGAGCCCATAAACCATGTTAGCTCTTGGGTTCCATCCTCCTCCAAAAAAAGCTAATCTGGCAAGAAATAGAGGTACGTGTCGACAAGGCAAGGAAGACCCTGCCAACACTTTCCGAAGTGCTAATATTTCTCTTACCATGAAGCGTTATTAGACTGCTGAGTAGATGAGCCTACCCAAGCGCTATTCAAGGATTGAGGAGGGTTTCGTGTTTTTTCTTGACTCGGTTGGTTTCACCTGAGAACAAGAACGCGCAAGAGGATTGGGGCCGATCGACCATTGTGACTGCGTTCCAGAGAAAGGAGCAGCACTGAGTCTACCCACCATGCGATATACATATCATGTCAGTCGTAATAAGGCTACTGGGTTCCAGATAATTTTGAAGCCTAATTTCTGAAGACGGGAGGCAGTTCCGAGAGCATCAAGCAAGATTTACGCCTTTTGACTATACATTACCTAACGTGTTTCAGCGGTGCCACGTATAACGCTGACTCTGAGAGAACCAGTTCTAAACATACATGGCCAGGATGAAGTGGTATCAAAAATTTGTCAACATGCTGCACTTGTTGTTTCTATACCCCGAGCTGGAGTCTCTGGAAGCTTCCCCACGACTGAAGAAGTTCATCAGGATTGTCTCCTTTCTCCTCGCTCATTTCTGTCGTGGCCACTATCATGAAGCCTGCAAGTGTGCAATGGAAAATGAAATCTGGCCTGGTGAATTCGGACCACAAAAACGACATCGTTTTTTGCCCGACGACTATTTGTCCAAACCAACTACTCCAAACAGAATACGAGAATTGATCACATGTTTCGGCGTTTTACACACCACAGTGGGAAGTCATGTTTCAGAATCTATCATCTCTTCACACTTCAGAAAGAGAAACATGAGTTTGCTGGTCACTTCATGCATCTTGGCAGCTTCATAAGATGCGATGTTAGCAGAACGGATTACGTGGATGTCAGCGTGATCAGAGCGTTAAGAACGTCAAATTTCATCAGTTAATGCGCCAAAAACAAATTTCACTGAGGCTAAACGGTCTTGTACACCAGTCAGCTGCCACAGCAACTTCACACCATCGTTGCGAAGCATGGCGACTCCCATCCGCTGAACTTAAACGTCTTAAAAGGTTTTATCATCTCCACGGCAATCAAGTTAGGTGACTGTAAGGAAACAACGCACAAGTGGTCCATTGATGATGGTGATGTATGGATACGAGACACGGGCTCAGCGGATAGATGATGTGAGGCCTCTTCAGGTTTTCGACCACAAATGCCTCAGAAGCCTGACTGGTTTCAGATGGCATCAGCGCGATAGTGAACAGGTGACTAGAAAACGGGCATTTGGTTGTGCCGCAGGTACTTCAATCGGGGAAACATCCGGCACCACCGACTACGATGGCTCGGGCATGTGGTACGCATACCGAAACAGCGTCTACCGAGACGAGTGTAGCTCTCCGTGCCTCCTTCAGGATGGCTCGAACCACGAGGTGGACAACGCATGACTTGGCAGAAGAACGTAAAAGAGATCACGAAGAGTTTAGGTGTTGTTGGTGTTGCACGCCTTCCAGAATGGGGTCCCCGTGACCCCACCAGTGCTTGGCTGGAGACGTTGCCAGAAATGGTGGCTAATCAATGTCAGTGGCGTGTCTAATCAATGTAAGGGGCGTTCATCCTGTCAGTTTCTCTTCAGATTGTTTGATTAAGCAGTTGGAGGGGTAGGTACCTTGGAATTCTTGACATAGCCTAGCGCTAGGTGCCCTCCATATATATAATTAAACGAACCTTATGGCTTTACTGCAGTGAATCATCAGTGTCAACACTGTTGCTGTAGTTGATGATGATCATGGTGATGATGAATTGATGGTGACACAGAATCACTGGAAAAGCGAATAGGACTTATCAGGTTTGGGTGGCTGGAACATTTAATACACACTACCGTATATCGACGAAAGCAGTTGAGAGAGACGGGCCATGAGGAGACGTAAAATGAAGGCAGCTACAACTAAACCGAACGCTGTGGAAGCTTCGCGCCTTCCACTGAGCCCAGACGACACAACTGGCCCAAAGGTGACATGTAATCGATGCCAAGGGGGCCTGGCTGGAGTTTGCCTGTTGTCAGATATTGTGATAATGTTAGATAGGGTTCGCGTAGGACGCCCGGACAATCACAGTGATGGTATGCTGTCCTGAAGTACACCAGATGGCTTTGGAAACAAGGATCTCTCCCACGATAGGTGGATTACTCGCATTTTGTAAGTTACGCTGGTTAGAACATGTACTCCACATGCCACAGGACCGTCTAACTCACAGAGCACTTCCCCCCCCCAACATTATACTAAGTGGAATCGATCGAGAGGTGGACAACATATGACCGAAGTATGGGAACACGAACCAATCAGTTCGGTGGGATTAAGAACTGCCAACTCCCCGGATGAGGATCCCATAGCTCAACTCACCAATAGTTACCAACGCTGGCAGACTTGACTGAATCGCGCACGGCGCTCATGAACCAAACCTATCGTGTAGCATCCCTATTCCCAAATTAACTGTACATGCCATCACCTGTACTTGGCTGTATCTTGGGGGTGATCGGACGGTCGGTGGTTCGAACCCGACCTCTAAATCTCGACTTCTCTTGTCTGGAATTTGCATCCTCGTACCCCTCATGCTTCCTTCGGATGGCATGGCAGATCGGCACCGAGAGGGTGTTACAGCCAAACGATCATCCTATCTTCAGTATCTCCCAATCCCTCCCAGTTTTCCAGTGATCAAAAGTGTATCAGCTGGAACCAATATATTCATGGTCAATAATCGTTCGTTCGGCGCCTAGCTACCATGTCAAAGGAAGGAGGCACGAGGGCACTTATACTGCCCGGTTACCCAAGCCTAGACAGCAACAGACGAGATGCTGATGTTGGTTTCGAACCACAGGCATTTGGTTCCTTAACCTGGTACTCAAACACCTAGCCGCACCAGGCCTATGGCACCTATGTTACACGGTTTGCAACCGATAAATTGGATTTATATGAAATGAATTGGCTAAGTGGTGGTGAACAAACTAACGCCTACTAGCGCTGGGTGTTGATAAAAGTTTCCCTGACTGTCTAGGTTAGAGAAGCTACTTCATCTCCTATCAAGCAACCAGTATTTACACAACGGCGCGAAATGTGGGGTTGATCCGTCAGTAGAATTCGGCACTATTGGTGCGATGTCCTTTCAAAACCGTGTGGAAGAACTAATTAAATTACCTAAGACCGTTTACATTAGTGAGCGATATGACCCAAGAACCGAAAAACCATCCGAGTATACAATGCTTGTCAGCAAACACTCCCAGAGTACTTTAACCCCCGATTGTCCAAAGACATAGGGAATCTTCAGGTGGTATGTTAATAACAAATCAACAGCAAATTTACAGTAGCATAGGAGTATATCTTTGCCGTCACTTCACATGATGAATTCAGTTGAAATCTTACCTTGAAATATACGCGGCACATGAGCTGGCACAGCTGTCTATAACCACTCTGCTGGGCAATGCAAGCCCCCCAAAATCTCGGAGTCTGCAGTGAGCGCACATTCTGAAGAACTCGGGTACCCTTTTGTTGCCTGTCTCCGCCTCCAGCGGTCATAACTATTTATCGAGTTATGTTTGGTTTCTATTAACTCTAAGATTGCTCCCAACCACCCGGGTTATCAATATCTACACAAGCTGTCCAATCCGGCGTACAGCCCGACGCCAGTGATACAAAATAAGATTTAAAAAAAATAATGATTCGATCGATGTGTCAAATATGAAAAGGGGTTCTCAATAAACCTGCCCTCCGTTTAAACAGCGGACCAAGTTCGAGACCACAATGGTAGTTACATGTTAAGGCGTAGCGTAAATGGCGAAAACCTTGTATCCTGTATAGCTATCTGGTAGTATGCTCCAGGCTTTGAGTTACTTAAATATAAAATGGAAAGGCTGAAAAACGGAAATGGCGTAGGTATCATGCGAACGGACAATCTCAGCAGTCTGGAAACAACACCGCGATGAGTTGGACAGGCAACCATGACACCATGAGTATCACTGCAAGAAGACTGTGTTAGAAAAGCGTGCGTGCTAGAAGCAGTCGGCACAAGAAAACAAAGTTATCTGGGACCAACAGCCTACTGCCTACCTCACGTACGAAAAAACTAAACTAGACTGATCACGACTTCATAGAAAACATATGTTCAGCCTAAAAAACTGCACTTTTTAATGACTCTCTGAAAAAGCGCAGCAGCGGATATACACTCTAGCCAGATGGCTAGCTCCCCGGGTACTGAAAGAAGAATGAAGATTTTCCAGGGAACAAGCTACCGATTTGACGGGCCATAATGAAAATAACGAAGTGACACTCGCCTCGTTGGCAAGAAATATTATCTGTAGAACGGCGGCCGATGATGGATGCGAAGCCACATAATCCACACCTGGTCGTCCGAATCTGAAAAAAATCACGTTGCAAGAATGTGGATAATTACATTCTCAAAACACCCGACTTTGTCCCAACCACGACAATTTTCTGCACCGCATCGAACGCCAGGCATGATGGACAATAAGGGAAGCCATGGATAGCAACCTACAGTGAACCAATCAATACTTTCGGTTACTAAAAACATACCCTCCCAACTTGGAAGTGCTCGCTCTTCAGAACTTCCTCAACATCTGAGGAGGGCGAATTGACGGCGTATGTCGGAGGGGAGTTGACATTCCACGAGCGGAAACCATCAATTACTTTCAGGAGCTTTTTCGACTTCGTAGCCATGGGGAATTTTTAAGACACTGCAAACTCAGTACATCTTGGGGCGGAAAACGAGCACGAACCAGGCGCCCACATATTGCTGAAGGTCATGTTCATGAATCAACGCCAACCAATTCCGACTTCAGGTCAACAAAACGGGAGCGCATATATAAACTCAAAATTACGAATGCCTTATAGAGACTATACTTCCGTCGTCCCCAAGTAAAAACGAACAATTCAACTGAAAAACTAGCGTCTTCGACAACATGCTGCAACAAAGTGGATGGTGTGAGTGTGGCGTTTTGTACCTTTGTTTTACTTTAATTATAACACTACGTATTTCATCAATTGCATAATCATTTTTTGTTTGAATACGAAAAACTCCAAAAACGCACACTTGAACACTTTGACATAATATAAGCGTGGTCACCTGCTTCGACTCTCTCTTCTGATTTCGCTCGCGCTTACAGCGGTCATTCGCGAGCCTCATGTGCTAACTCTGGTACCAAAACATTACAGACCATCTTCGGAATCTATTATATGTCGGAACTGTTCAGAAGAAGACCTCTGGACCAACATAATTGGATTATCGTTTATTCGCTGACCTGGGCCAACGGCGAACTATTTTGAAGAGAACTATTATTAGTGAGTCTGTTTCATCTGACCTCTTTATTTGTGTATACCCAACCTAGCGTAATTGTTTTTATTTCTTTGCCACACACTCCTGGTAAACTAACTTATTGGGTAGCCAGACCACTACATGAGCAGCAGTGCAACAGTTATACTTCGACATTTTCACAGTTTTCTGAGGGCGAAGCAGTAGCCTTCTTTTGACATATGTCAAATAAATGTCGAATCAGTTCAGTTGTCGTTGTAAGTTTAATTCTGTGGGTCAAAACCTGTGTGGGGAGCCCAATAATCTCTCATGACGGCGGAAAAGCATGCCTCGTGCCTACAGCCTGAGGTCACTTCCTGAAGTGTAGGGGCCTGGCAGTAATAGTTTTCATAATATGGAATACAACAGATTGATAATACTTTAAAAATGATACACCTCTGTATACCATGTTCCTAACGAACAAGCCGTTGATTTAGTGGGTTATGGGCGACCGAGACCCCATGGGAATTTTCTTAGCGAAATTCGGTATCACGTTCATCTCCTTGGGCGGCAAGAGGACGGATATCGTTCACTTCTGTGGAACACTGGATGCGTGATAATGATGTTGGTCATTGCGGCTCGAGCACCTTCATACTCGCCTTTTTTGGTCCTATCATGCAGTGGAACGTTAGGTGCAGAAATTCGAAGGGCCGATATAGAGGTATGATCAAACGGCTGTCAGTGATTCTACATGCTTGTCGCCGTGTCAGTGTTTAGCGCATCTGGCATTTGGTCGGAGTACACCTTTTGCAGAGAGAACAAACTGAAAGCAACCACACGGACAGAAATTGGATGAACCTTGTTAACGTTTAGGGCGACTGTCCTCTCAAAACAAGCTAAAACAGTTGTCAATCCGCATATCATAAATCATATCCACACCGTCAGGCCAACCATTAAAAGCCTGCTAACAAAGTCAGTAAGATCTTGAGACGACAGAGATATTTACAAACTTTTACAACAGGCTTGAATTCAGGCACAATTAAAAGGAACTGAAACATGCTGCATCAAAAGTGGAATCCAAGGATAAGATGGAAGAAAAACGTCCAAAGAAATGGTTACGCAGGGAACTTAATTTAATAACTTGGGAGTGCATTTCAACAAAATCTAATAAAATTATGCGCTTGGACCTATCCCTATCATCCCCTGCTATATATCAGTCGATTCAACGTTCAACAGTCTACCGGCCAAATATTCCTCCATCAAGTTGTGAACACGTAATTGTGGAGGCAACGATACTCGAGCAGAAGTGTTTCGGGAGCTTCGAGATAGGTTTCCCAATCAACGGATTCGAATCTTTGCAGAGTCTCCGTTGACACTCCCAACTAAATTTACATCCTTGCGTCCCGAGCAAACATCCTGGTTGGTTTGTTGGAGGCCCGGTCTGGCATGGGCCCCATAGGGCATCTACAGGTGCGTATGTTGTATAATAAATGTACAAGAAATTATCCAAAGGACGACAACTACATTCTAAGCTGATTTTCCTTGATGCATTTTGAAATAAATCGGTTGTTAATATAGCTAGACATTAAGATACCTAGCTTTGGGCATTCGGTAGTGTATTTGGCCAGTTATCGAAAACCGATAAAAAGCCGTCAAAAAGTATAATTCTTAGGGGGGTTTGCTTCAGCCTACCTAAGCCTCAATATGGACAATATGAGAATTGCTTTTTCCATGTGTTTTGTTAGATATTATCCGTCTGAATAGCGAGATGCGGTAGCTTGTGTTTCCGCGTCACCAAAATGTCTGATACTGAAAATCGCCTTGATAATTAGCACGGTGTATAAGGAATGAAATGCTTTCGGCATGGGAATCGATCTAACCGCACCTCAGAGATTATATAATGTGCAAGCTTTGCCGTATAATTTACATTTTCGAAGCTTGCACGTCGTTTTTTGGCTATTTGCTTGACATCGGCATGGA